GTGTATATTTCAGAAAAATATATTAAATTGTTTATTTAGTTAGTTTGTGTTGCAGTTTACTTTTCCACGTGTGTGTTTAAAGTTTCACAAGAAAATGACTCATTTGAAATTTCATGCCATGTCTTAACATTTGCATAGCAGCTGGCAACGCTGACGATTCGCTCAACTGTTGATCTTCTCTCCCCAAATACTGCTCACCCCAAATACCTCTCATTCTACCGTACCGTTCTCTATCTCTTTGTGTTGTGTCCATTAATAAAATCTTGCGTTTTGCCAACCTCCCCACCCCTTCCCAGACGAGACAATCAATCCAGACATACAAATCTGACTTTGGCTATAATGCCCATGCAAATATATTCGACGAGGCCGAGATCTGTCTAATCGCATGCAAGGCGCGTCTGCCAATGGCTAAGACCCCGTCTCGACCGTGTTCGAGCCTGTTTTTTTTTTGTTGTTTTTTTTCGATTAATCACGAACTTCCGTAGCAACAACTGCGTCAGCGTCACAGCTTTCGGCGGCGGTCCGACTCCCAGTCATGGCTTTGTGTCTTTGGGGTGTGTCTGTGTGAGCTCCACAAGTTTTGTATATGCGAATGTGTCTGTGCTGTGCACGCGGCTTGTGCATGGACAGCCTATGAATAGACTGTGGTTGGGGCGGGGCCCCCCACCAAATGGAATGGAATCTTCTGACGGTCCCCCTCCTTAAACCATCCGACCATCGGAAAACAATTCTCAAGTAAACAGCTGATGACGTCCGTCCATGCGTAGGTTACGTGGTTGGGTTGCCGCCTCTCTACTTAAGAGATCTTCCATTCCTCTAAGCATACATACATACATACACACATAGTATGTATTTATGTATGGGATGGAAACACAACACAAGAGACCTGACCTTTTCAGAATGTCAGGCGGGGGTACATCCCCTCCCCAGAGAAGAGAGGAAAACTGGCATTTTGCTGCCCACGTTGCTGCTGCCTGATGGCCGTTGTCCGGGTAGCCGAGGTTCCATTCGGTTTCATTGCACTGGTTGCTCCACTCACGAAATGACGATGACGATTTTTTGTCCTCCCCCCACCCCCTCCCAACACACACACCTTCATGTCTGCCCACTTACAATACAAGTGATTACGTCGGCGCTTCCCTCGCACACACACACACACACACACACACACACAAACACACACTGAGCAGAGTCTCAGCGACAGCGACGCGGCAGCAGTGGGAGCTCTGTTGGGAGCCCGTTGACTGAATGCTGTTTCATTCGTCTTTTGAATTCTGAACGCAACGGTTCGCTTAGCTCCCGCTACCCGCTCCACACGGCCTGGCCGAAAAGCGCAGTCCATTGAAGAGTACAAAAAAAAAGAAACAGTTACAGAGTTGTGCAAAATCTCGGAGAAGAAATAAAAGATTAAACAAAGTGATAAGAGAAAGAGACAGAGAGACAGACAGTTAACTCCTACACACCCGGCTAAAAAAGACCAGGGGAGAGTGAAAGAGAAAAGTGCATCGCAAAGAGAGTGCAAAGTGCAAGAATAATCCACACAGAAAATGGATATGAATATGAATATGGATACCCTGCTGCTGCCATCGCCGCCAGCAACGCCCCCCCTCAGGGAAAATAAATTGGAAAATGTAAGTAAATCGGGTAATGTGACTCACTGGGTGGGGAGTGAGTGAGTGTGTTTGACCTACAATGCGATTGTGATTAGTGGAATAGTGAATGTGATTAGTGCCAAATGCATCCCGGACCCTGGGGCCTGAACAGAAATTCCCGCACATTTTGCGCCCCCTCCTACCAGGCACATAATCACGCAGGGGGGCCATGGGAGCAGACGAGACGCTCGTATGGTCTCGCTTGCACTTGTCGCGTTTCTAAAAACAAAAGTGTCCCATCTCTCTTCCACCCATGGCCAGGCCAGATCACGCAGCCAGCACGCGTTCACGTGAACACCGCATGCTCAAGCTTATGGGAAAGAAACAACGGGGGGGAATGGTTGTGGGGGCTGAACATTGGACCCCTAGCACACAGGCAAACAGTCTCGTCGTCGCCGAGAGAGGAGCGCACCACACACACTCACATACAGTGTTAGGCCAAAGAGAGGGCCAGCCAAGTCAAATCAAATAGCAGGTAGAGCAGTCCCAAATAACGGCCTCTATTTATGCTTTTCTATGCGTTCGTGCCTTACCTTATAATTAGCAGATTTGGGAGAGTCTTGTTTTGAGAGGGAGCTTTGCTTGTGTGTGTGTGTGTGTGTGAGAGCAAGCGAAGGTGAGTTTGCCAATTAGACGAAACGGCAAAGGAAAATACTACTACGAAGAAGAGGAAGACAGAGAGGCTAGGCAAACACACAGGGCCACAAGCAAACCCCGGGTCCCCATAAAAATATGTCACATTGCTGCTTATGCTGCCTCACTCACTTATCTGGCAAACAAACAGAGTCACACACACACTCACTAACACTCTGGCAAGCAACGTGCCGAGCCCATAAAAAGATTTCAACGAAGTTTATATAGCGCTCCCCTCCTCGCACCCACCACACGGCACTCGGCACACCTGCAGCACGTCATAACTGTAGTCAGTAGTAGTCTGGTCTGGTCTGGTCTGGCTGCACTGCTCCATTGCCTGCTTTTGGGCGGTCAATTCAAATTTCATTGAACCGCTGCCAAGCGGCTTTCCAAACAAAAAACCAGTGCAAAAAGCGCCAAAAAATACATAAATATACATCAAGCTTCTTGGCCAAAATGTGTGAGTGCAATGAACCCACACCCCCAACCCACCGCTGACAGGTTAAGGTTAACGGTGAACGGCCTTGCGTGATGCCTGCGTAATTAGTAAAAATTTTTCGACTTAAAAGTCATTGTGGGTCACAGCCCTGTGGAGCTGTCCGGTCTGGGAGGAAAAGTGAACGTGAATGTGAATGTACTCCGCTCTCAGGTTATTAAACTCCCACTAATCATCACTCTTTCCTTTTTGTGTATCTCTTCAGGTGGTCAAGGACGAGCAACAGGTGAACGAAAATCTGCTGAAGGCCAAGCTGAAACTGGTGGCCCAGAAGAGCCAGAAAAATGGCGGCGGCGGCATCATCACACCCAATCCCTCGGACACTGAGGATGAGGCACCCGAAATGGATGATGTCTTGCCCAGCAAGAAGCCACGTCTGGAACAGCCTGCGGTGACCATGACACCGCCGCCCGATCAGCAGAAGTCCGAGGAAGAGGACGAGTCCAAGAGCGATGATGAGCCCAAACGTGTCAGTGTCATCATGCGGGTCAACAGCTCGGGCGCCGTCTCCTCGTCCCAGGACGAGAACAGCTCCAGCTCCTGCTGCAGCTCCTCCTGCACCACCACCACCACCACAACCACGGGCAGCACCGTCAGTCCCGCCATGGAGGATGACTACCCCGAGGCTAATGTGTGGCGCAATCTCAAGTTCAAGATGAACCGCAAGCGGGCCGCCGAGGTGGCCTTGCCCCAGCCCCCAGCACCTGTCCAAGCACCAGCCCCAGCTCCAACTCCCGAACCAGCGGAAGAGCCGCAAACAGAGAAAACGGAACCCATTGCCATTCTGCCAGCCTCCAGCAGCATCTTTATCGCCACACCAGCCTCACCAACAATCGCCTGTGCATCGCAGCTGCTCCTGCTCAGCACAGTGGCCGCCCAGCAGTGCCCCAACCCATGTCCGGCGCCCAGTTCTTCGGAATCGCCGGCCGAAAAGCAACAGCGTATCACCGCCGCCCAGGCAGCGGCCACCCGAAGCCGCATCTACGAGTGCAGCTTCCCGGAGTGCGGCAAGAACTACTTCAAGAGCAGCCACCTGAAGGCCCACCAGCGCGTCCACACCGGCGAGCGTCCCTTCGTCTGCAAGTGGGACAACTGCGACAAGCGATTCTCCCGCTCCGATGAGCTCTCACGCCACAAGCGCACCCACACCGGCGAGAAGAAGTTCCAGTGCGGCGTCTGCCAGAAGAAGTTCATGCGCAGCGACCACCTCTCCAAGCACGTGAAGCGCCACAACAAGGACAAGGCCAACGGCGTCAACCGCAACGTCTCTCCGGCATCCTCCTCCTCCTCCTCCTCTTCGGCAGCCGTTGCCGCCCTCTGCGACCCAACGCTGCACCTGAGAGCCATTGCCCCAGCGGCGGCCATCTCCAGCTCAGTACAAACCACGCTGCCAGTCGCGCCATCCCCGCCAGCCACGCTTCAGGTGTACAGTGCCCAGGATCTGTTGCGACTTCAGCAGCAAGCGAGCGGCTTTAGCTTCAGCGGAGTGGGAACTCTGCTGCAGGCGCAGCGATAAAGGAGGACCAGCAGCAGCAACGCCAAAACCAATCTCATCCCACAACACAGTATCACCAGCTGGAGAGTAGACGGGCGAAAGCGATAAGAGAGAGAGAGAGAGCGGAGCCCAGCTGGGGTGTAGTTCGTAAGATATAGATTTAGGAGCTAGATCTTGTCATCGTTTTGTGCATATATCAAATTAATATTCAATAACCTTTGCTACGCTTCGATCTGGTACTGGATCCGGATACCCATGCGATCCGTTCCGATGGTCAGTGGCGGGTACGCGAAGGAGTCGTCCCACTTCTTTCTTTCCAAGGGCACAGAGCACACATCTTAGTTTAGCGATCTGCTGATTCTAATTCTGATTATACCTAGTGCATCTTTATACACATATACGCGTATATTTAGCGGCAACATCTGTGATATTTAAGTTTTTCTTAACTATTAACTATTTTCTATTGTAACAATATTGTAGTTATCAGCTCGTAGATCGTACTCGTAATTCTCCTAATCTTACACACACACACACACACAAAAAACAAACAACAAATTGTATTTATTGCTAAATGTGAAAAAGAACAACAACAACTACAACAACAAACAACAAACAAAACATAATGGATCCCCCAAAACGGACCAAATCTCAAAAAACAAAATGAAAATGAAAATATATATATTTTCCAAAATAATTTCAAATTCGAGTGTATTTACTTCATGGGTGGGATGGGTAATGGGAAGCAAAGAAATATAAAGCAGTTTGAAAGTGCAGTTTTCTGTGTGGCACAAAATTTCTATATGGGGGTATCCATGGATATGGATAGGAATTAGGAGGACTAGTAGGAGTCAAGACTTTGTTTTTATATCTCAAATATGGATTGGTTGGAGATTTAAATTGCGACATTAACTGAATGGCCACATCTTTAGGAGTAGATTCCAGATTCCATTTTTGTTTCTTTGGAAATGGAAATATAATTTAAATATAATCGTTTGCAGCAGACTCTTCTTGTTCATAATTCAAATGTTGGTACAAGTTTGAAGATAAACTCAAGGGTTAGCAAATAAATGAATAAGTGGGTGATTAGTATAATTAAACAATAATTATGCGTGTTGCTCCTACTCTCTAACTAGCCAGCATTTAAAAATAAACGAAGCCTGCGACTTTTATCTCATACTACAAAATATAAATAAGTAAAGATGCATTGGCAACTAATCCCATTCTAATTTTCATTCGATGCTTTAAAGTTTATGCGGTTTATTTTAGACGATATAGAATACTCTTACACTAACCACGAATATTTAATTGCCTTTGCCAGACAATTTGCTGCATTGGTTTATCTTGAATCAATTAAATTAGAATCCCCTCGAATCAAGTCTGAATATGTGATGACTTGATATAGATATATAGCCCATAGGATATAGAATAAGTTTCCCCGTAGGACCAAGTACATTCCAGATCCTTCATTTAAACACCCAAAAGTGCGGTAAATTCACAAACCTTGGGTTTGGCCTGCGGTGAGCAGGCCTGGCGCACGGCCATTTCCCAGGTGTCGAGTAGATGCGAGAGCGAGTAGTTTTTGGGTAGCTTGGAGATGCGTGCAATCAGAGCCTGCTGCACGGTCTGCAGGAAGGGCGTGGCCGAGTACTCCTGCTCGGTGAGGGAGCAGTCGGGCGCCTGCCACGGATACTCCTCCGGCACACAAACGCTCACTGGCGGCACACTGGGCAGTCGCTTGTCGTCCAGGCAGCATATCAAACGAATAGACTTATTGTTGATCTGCGACGTGGTGTCCAGCTTCACCTTGAACTTGGTGTCCAGGCGGGCAATCTCGCCCTGAAGCACATGCGGCACGTCCTGCTCAAAAGGCGAGGACTTCTCCTCAATGCGCGCTTTCTTAGCGGGCACCGGAGCCACGATATCTGTGCCGAATAGCAGCTCCAGCGTGGGTCGGAATGTGCGATGCAATGTGTGATTGGCTATGGGACTCTGCAGCGTGGTATTGATGACCTCCAGCAGCGGATTCGAGGATTTCTAGGGGCAAAAGTAAGGCATATTTGAGAGCAGAGCTATTTTGAGGGCATTTTGGATAGCTTACGCCAAACTGCTGGCCCGAAATCGAGATCAGATCCATCCGCTCCAGTGCCTTCTCGCACTTGAGCAGCGTCTCCAGTGGCACACGCTGCGTGGGATTGCACAGGATCTCCAGCAGCTTGCTCATTTTGGTCATCTTCTCCACATCTGCAGGGGGGAAAGATTGAGTTAAGTGTTCTCTCTTTCTATGATGATAGACACTCACTGGTTCCATCGTTGCTGATCTTTGCGAGCATGCGCTTGAGTGGCTCTATGTATTTGGTCAGCTGCTTGTACTTTTCCCTGTACAGCGCCTCCTCCTGGGGATTAAACGGACTGTTGCCAGTCACCTGGCCGGGCGTGTTGATGGAGGCATTGCTCGGCGACTGCTGGCGGATGTTGCGCTGTGGATTCTGCATCATCATTTGGGGACTGGACTGCGGCACCAGTGCCGGACTGGGTATCATCTGTGGCGTGGGCATTTGTGGCGTTGGCGGCTGTTGCGTCGGCGTCTGGTTTCCCACCACGAGCTGTTGTTGCTGCTGCTGCTGTTGCTGTTGTTGTTGTTGCTGCTGCTGCAGTTGTTGCAGCTGTGCCTGCTGCTGTTGCTGCAGCTGCTGGGCATCCGCTGGCGAGGGACTCGACCGCATAAAAGGCTGTCCGGGCTGCTGGCCGCCAACGACGCCACCACGATTGCCGGGAAACATTTGTCCTGCCTGTCCCATGGCCATGTTGGGCTTCTGCTGGATATTTGGTGGCATATTGACACCCATGCCTCCCATGGGATTCATGCCACCCTGCTGCACAGCATTGGGTGGCACCACCTGCTGCTGCTGCTGCTGCTGACCCGCCGGTCCGCCCACGCCGACATTATGCTGCGGCTGCTGCATATTGGGCGGCATTCCCTGCATGCCCTGGCCCATGCCCTGGGGTCCACCCATGCCGTTGCCCTGGCCCATGCGCATCATGGGACTCATGCCCATCTGGAAAGGTATTTAATTAGAGTTTTCCCATTGTAAAATCCTCTCCCGTACTCACAGCCATTTGGTTCTGCTGGATCTGCTGCATGGGCGCCATCTGTTGCATGGCATTCACATTCATCGGCCCTCCGCTCTGCATCTGATTGGGCACAGGCCCGGCACCGGCACCAGGAGGAGCATTTGCCCCACCCGCACCTCCTGCGGGACCGCTGTTCGGACCCGGACCCACCATTTGATTGGGCATGCCACCCATCTGCTGGCCGGCATTGCCCCCAATCTGGCCCTGTCCTTGGGCACCGCCTGCACCCATTACGTTCATCACGCCGGGCGCATTGCCGCCGCCGCCCATTTGCTGGACCTGCATCATCTGCTGTGGACCGCCAGCACCCGCACCCACGCCCATGGGCATCTGACCGCGTATATTGGGCATGGGCTGCATTTGCTGGCCGGGACGCTGCTGGTTGAGGGACTGCAGCAGATTTGAGGCAGTGCCGGGGCCACCGGGCACAGGAACGCCACCGGCCATGGGCATCATCTGGGGATTGCGGTTGCCCTGGCTGGCCAGATTCTGCAGCGCATTCAACGGATCCTGCATCATGTTCTGCTGGCCCATTTCCGCGTTTGGAGGCGGCGGCTGTTGCTGTTGTTGCTGCTGCTGCTGTTGTTGTTGTTGCTGCTGCTGTTGGGTCTTGCGCGACATGTCCTTGTAGTGCATAAAGAGCTTGGCCACCAGCCCCAGATACTCGTCCTTGCTGCGGGACTTGCGAAAGATGTGGTTCTCCATAACGCTGGCATTCTTCGTCTGATCCTGGGCATGCGGCGGCAACAAGTCGTGTCTGAAACGAAACTTAGTTGTCATTGGGGCACCTTGTTTGGCTTTTTGCGTTGCTTACATTTTGGAAATGACATTCTGGCGAAACTTCTGACTCTGCCAGTCTTCCGTCATGATTTTAGATCAGATTAAATCAATATAAATTGAGTTTTTTGCACAAATTTTCTTAAAATTTTCTTTGTTTTCAGCTTCTTCTTTCGCAGTATGACCGTTTAGTAGTTGCACAGAAAAACCACAGTACTGCCGGATCTGCCGGTTTTCAGTTTGATTGTCTGGCAGCACTCGTACGCTTTAACGTTATATTTGAACCAAGTGGGCTGCCAGATGTGCCAAAATAGGTCTCTCTCTGAGCCGCTCTAACGGTAAATATAGAACATGAACGCAGACTAGTTCAATTAGCACCCTTCCAAGCTTCTGCTTGCTGTTTCTCTTAACAATTCTACCTCGCAGCCCAACCCAACCACCTGTGTGACTTATTAACGCGCCCTCTCTCACCCATGCACACACAACACACAAACACACCAAGAGGCAGGCCTCTCTCTCTCTCTCTTTACTGCTCTTTCTCTGAGTAAACTTTCGTTTCGGCGCGTGCTAAGCCGATGGAGCTCAGTCGTTGGCGCTCATTAGCACTCACCGTGTTTTACCGTTGCTCTATTCGTATTCATACCTTCAACGAGAGCGGACTGTGTGTTTCGGACGCAACGCGCTGCTATTCTGTTCCGTTGGCGCGTCGTCGCTGGTGTCGTCGTCGTCGTCGTGTGTTTTGTTCGTTGCGTTGTTTATTAACTTTTTATGTACTATATTTACTACGTTTGCCATTCCACCTACCTACGTGTTCTGTTCTTTGCATTTTACGCGCCGCTTTTCGACACATTTCGCCACGCTCGCGGCTCCGCTGCTCCATTTGCCACCTGTACAAGACGGGGGGAGGTACGGAATTCGACCATACCCCACTACCATCATAACACCCCCCTTGAAGCGTGGTTGTCAATGCCGGCTCACTAAGTGTATTTGTGTGTGTGTGTGAGTTGTTGCATTTGGTGTATTTTTTGTGCTGACGTTTAAATATCATATCTAATACGTGCAAAAGAGAAAGAAAAGTGTTTTTCCATGAGTGTGGAAGAGGAGAGAATTCCATTGCGTTCTTATCAGCGAATATCGTGTATACGACGGGTGTTACCTTGAGGTGCAAAAAAAAAAGGTAGCAAAACAGCAGGGCGCTGCCTCCCACTACCCACAACCCACTCCCATTCGAATCCCCCTCTTAAGTGCGTGGCCGAATATTAATTGAAAGCATGTGAAATTAACAGCGCAAAAGCTATAGCCGAACAACCGTTACTATTCCAATTATATTGCAAGTTACAAGACGGGGAGGTACAAAAACAAAATAATCAAGCGAAACAGCAGAGACACAAAAAAAAAAATAACCCCACAACAACAACAACTGAAGCAGAAGCAGCAGCAGCAGGCAGAACGTTTAAGTGAGCAGCGACTGCGCTGCGCAGCGCTGCAGCAGAGGCCGAGGCAAAGGCAGCGAAAATAGCATGAAAATGTCGAAAAACTGTTGAGGTTCGTATATGTAAATGTGTGTGTGTGTTCATGTAAATGTATGTAAGCAAGTTACATGAGAAGTAGAGAGAGAGGGTGGGCTGGTGGCAAACAAACTAGACCACCCACCCGTGGAGTGGGACTGCCTTACCCACTTTTGAATATAGCTTGAAGTATGTAAGTATGTCGAGAGCGTCTCCCTGCTTCAGTGCATATATGAACGCTCGCTTCAAGCCTCACCTCCCAACCACCCCCCTCAAGCGCGCTCTGGCTATCACTCTGTCTCCCTCTCTCTCTCTCTATCACCGTACACCGTACACTATCTCTCTCTTGATGAGTGTGTGAGTGTGTGTGGCTTATGCCGCCGACTTGGGTGCTGCTCTACTTTATTCTGTTCTTTGGCATTTTTTTTTCAATTTTTTTTTTCCATTTTGCGGCAATAACAACAAAGTTGATTACAACGACAGCCCCAAAAAGCGCCACACAGACAGCGGGCAAAAGAACGGGGGCCGGGGAGGTGTCGACTGTGGGCTTACCCACTGTCCCTACTAAATATGCTACAGTACCTGTGGCACGTGGTGTGCGTTGATATACCCTCGAGGTAGTTGTTTTTAATGGGTAATTACATCAACAACAATAAAAGTGTGTTGACATTTTTTTCGTTTTTTGCCTTTTCACGTCTGTTTTGCTCTATACGCCATGGATGTGACATGTGTGTATGTGTGTGTGTGTGTGTGTGTGTGCTAGTAGGGGGTAGTATTAGTATTATTGGGGGCTGCCTGGAATGGGCTACGTGTTGGAAATTATCAAGCCGAGCTTGTCATCGCGCCAGCACGCACGAACATCAGAAACTACAACCACACTGACGACACACAAATGTATCTACATATTTGCATACAAATGTTTCTACATATACATACATACATACATACATATGTATGTATCAATGTAAACTGTAAAGTTTTGCCGGCGACAACGATCTCAGCGCACAATTTTGAATTCTGGTTCTGTGGGACGCGTCCGTTAAAGGGAATGAACTAAAATGAATGACAAGCGGCAGAAAGCCTATTGATTTTCAATCAATATTTTGTGTATATACACACATACATATGTACGTATGTACATGTATGTATGTGCGAGGTAACGGTGTTATTTGTAAATACAGTGAAAGCTCGACAATGCAAAACAGATGTTTCCGGGTGTACTGCACCAAGTATTTCCATTATTTGTCAACGTTCTAAATAAATAAGTTTCAAACCAAAGAAATTGTTCATAATAATGTTGAAATTTTTATTGTAGTTTTTCATTGTTTATGGAAATTTATGGATTGTAGAAATAGTGGTTCAAATTGTGGTTCCAAATGTGGTTTAATTATCTGAAAAAAAACTTCTTCTTTGTGTAACTTGTTGATAGTTTTTTTCAAAACAAAACCCTTTATTTTTTGTTTGTTTGGTGTGTGCAAAATTAGGCCAAAATTTTGCATATGTAATTAAAAATTGTTATCTTCGATTGCAGAACAACATTTTGGTTTTCCAATAACTGTGATTTCCGAATCTCGAGCGTACCCTGTACGTAAACAAAACAAAAAAAAAAAACTATGGGATGACACAAAGTTTCTTTTAGCTTTCTGTTATTTCTTTTCTTGTCTTTCTGCTCGTTCGCTTTGTTCGATTTTCTTGAATTTGTTTTGCATTTGAATTGGGAATTGCTATAGCTTCTTCCATCTGTCTCGCTCTCGCTCTCTTTCTCTCTGTCTCTCTCTGTCTCCTGCCCCCTGGCCATTTCTTCTTTCACGTTTCTTTTCACCTTTGGAGACACGACGCGACTTGAAATCGACTCGCTCACGCATGCATAATAATCACAGACATCGCCGGGGGGAGAGTGCATGCGAGTGTGTGTTTGTGCTTGTGTGTGCTCTCTGCCGCCATGGACGTTGACTGCTCTGCCAGCGTAATCGCTGCTGCTTTTTATTATCATTTGATTGCGCTCGCTGCCGTTGCCGCTGCCACTGCCACTGCTGGCTGATTGTTGTTGTGGTTGTTGTTGTTGCTGTTTGTCGCCTATTTTGCGTTTTTTGCCCTTTGCTGTTCATTGTTTATATCAATTCCCTTTTTGTGCTCGCTCTCTCTCCCTGTACACCTCTCTGTCCACCCCCCGTTGCCTACCTTTTTGTTTAGATGAATTTACTTAATTTGTTTTTGTGGTCGCTGCCTGTCCCTAGTCCTATTTAACCAACTCTCTCTCTCTCCCGCTCTCTCTGACTTCCCCTCGGGTGCTGTCACCTCCAGTTCGAACTGCAGCTGTAAGTTGGAGCAGCAGTGCAAAACCAACCAACCTTTGATGCACTTTTCCAATCATAGCTGGTTCGGTTATACCCTGTAAACAAAGGGAATGCTGGTTTTCAATAGACGTAAGAAAGAAAAATTATTTTTGTCTAAAGATAATTTAATTAAAAAATGGATAGCCATATCATAACATGAAGACTTAATCATATATCTAGCCTATATAAAATTAAATGGTATATATGTACATATGTATGTATGCTTGCAAAGGGTAACAAAACCTGCGACGCCGTGAAAGCTTTTGCTCCCTTTTTTATGTCTTTCACTCTGTTTGTTGTTATTTGTCACGCCTCTCGTCATCGAACCGTTAGAGAGGCAAAGCAGATACAACAATAACAACAATAATAAAAACAACAACAACAACATGCACAAGTACCGTTAATGGGAGCGTTGGAGCTGTCATGTTTGCTTACGAGCGGCGGCTTCATTTCCGCTCCAGCCAGGACATGGGTGTGAAACAGGGACGGGACCCTTCTGCCTGCCAGGAGCAGGAGCGCTGAGCGCTGGAGCTGTCACATGTCTGGACGTTGCTGCAGCAGCGCCTGCAGTGTGTATACCCTGTAGCTGGAGTGGCCTGGAGAGGGGTGTGCTCAAGCGGTCGATTGCAGAGGCTGACGATTGATTTTTAGCTGAAAGTAGCAAATAAAAGTTTTGGCTCAAGGCAAAGTGCTGTGGCAACAGCTGTTCCCTTTTTGAGTTGGAAAGTGAAAGCATGAAGTAAAAGTTGAAATAAAAGTACCAACCCTATTATATACGCCAGGCCTAAATTTGTACTTCAATTTGTGTAATTTAAGTTAATTTTGCCATTAAATTACATGAGTATCTTTTTTTGTGTAGCAAACATAAATTTTCTAGACTCTAGGGGAGGTGTTGCTGGATGGTGTTCTTCGGCCGACAGCTACATGTGCTGGTAATTTTTTAAAGCACAAATTATTAATTAAATTTAATAATAATAATAATCATAATTAATTAATAACCCCCTTGAATCATAAGTTTTGCTAAGAGTGTAGTGAAAACACTTTTTAATTGAAAAAAATAAATATACCCCATAGAGAATCTGCCATCTGAAGCTTAACTCCTGCAACCTGTGCCTGTGTCTTTTCCTACGCATTTTCCATTACTTATTAAAAACTATTCTATATTTTCGCTGCTTTGGGCAACCCTTTCCTTACACCCTGCACTACTTTTAATTTGTTTTTACACTATTTTAGGAATTGGAACTAATTAAAGGTTAGGGGCGCTGCTTTGTAATTATTCCCATTAATTATTCTTGTTTTAGGTGCTGCCCCCTGGCCACTGCTCCAATGGTTGAATTACTTCCCATTACAGGGTGTCTGCCTCCATCGTAATGCTTCTTGATGGCCATCCTGTCAATCCTTTGGCGTTATTTCTGTTCCCGTTTCTCCTTCACCACGGCAACCACTTGTTTTCCCAGGCATAACAGCAACAGACACACACACACACACACACACACACACACTGGCACTGACACAGCCCCCCATTGTGCCACCCCATTTTGGCACCCATACACCAACATTTTTATTGACTGTTTCCCAAACCCCCCTCCGCCCCTGCTGCAGGACACTGCCAGCACACTACCCGTTGTCCTCACTGCGTCGGCGTCGTCGTCGTCGTCGTTGGTCGTCGAAATAAAGTTTCGCTGCTGCTGCTGCTGCTGCTGCTGCTGCCACAAGTCGTCGGCATTCCGGCGCGTCTTCAACAGATGAAAAAGTTTTGTGCTGCAAAGTCGCACGCGCTCTGAGAACGCCTGAACGCCTCAACGCGCCTCTGCCTCACCAGGAGTTCTCCACATAAATAAATAGCGCCGCAATCCTCGAAAGTTTTATAATTAAAAAAAAATAATCCCAGAAGTGGATGCCCCCATTGTGCCGCAATATGTGTTAGTGGATGTGTCAGTGCCACAGTCTGCGTGTGTGTGTGTGTGCCACAGTCTGCGTGTGTGTTAGCCCGCCTTTTTGTAGCCAGCATATGGCAGCATAATTCACACGATTCTCGGTGAGATTTGCATTTGTTTTACATAAATATCCATTCCGATGGTCATTCCGATGCCTCATACCCCGATGCCTGCCCCCGTTTGCCCGTTGGCAATCGCCACAATGCCCCCAAACAATTTCATTTAATTCAATTGAAGGCAATCTCTGATTGCTGTCGCACCCCCCCGCCCCCCATCACCTATTAACATACACATCCAGGGCGTATACGCAATGTGTGTTGAGGGTTTTTTGGTTATTCGGATTCGGTTTTAGGATGGGCTTCGTTTGGGGGGTCTTGGGTTACGCGCGTAGCCTTGCTTTGCATTTCGTCTGGTAAACAGACGAAAACAACTTCTTCGATTACCATTTTTCCCTTTCGAATTTGTGGCTACACTCCACACCACACTCCACACCACACTCCACACCACACACACCCCAGCCACCCAGCCACCGCTCCGCTTGATTCCCGATGCCTGTTTGGGCGTTGTGCATTACGTTTCGGATATCAAATCGACGAGCTGCGATCTCATTTATGGTCCGGATGGTACATCAGGCTTCACGCCCAATTAGCCTAAAAGCCCAGGCCCTACTGTGGGTGCTGTGGGCTGTGGGGCATTGGTGGGTGGGATTAGGGAGGGAAGGTCGATTATCCATACAGCTGCTGGCTAATGGTCGTCGTGGGTTCATCAATGGGGTAAAATAACATTCGCATCGTCCAGCGAAAGTGTATTACCATAATGAATTCCAGTTGCGACACTCGTCGGGTTCTGTTCTGTGTGCTCCGTGTGCTCCGTGTGCTGCCCTCCGCTAGTAGTTTTCGCTCTCGATTCTCGATTTCCACACACACACAATGTGGCTGCCCCCGGATGCCGCACTCTGCCCCTTTGGCTGGCCCTGTCCCTGGGCCGCCACAACCAACTCACAGGTGGTCGCCATGAATGGACTGTGGATGGAACTTCCGCCGTTGCCACCACCACCGCCTGGATATTACGATTGCATTCCGGGAAAGTCCGGTAGGTGCATTGCACACACACCCCATGTCGTCCATTGGCTTCCGTGGCAATTATCTGTGACAATTATTGGTTTTTTTTTGTTGTTGTGTTGTTGTGTTTTTTTTCTCCCAACGTCCAGTCTGTGGCCCCTGTGTGTGGCCCCTGTTTGTGGCCCAGTTTTGTGGTGGGCGTTGACATTGAACAGGGCAGCAGTGCCCTCCATCCATCCCATCCCATCCAACCATCCATCCCCTATAGCTGTATAGCTATAGTAGAGCTATAGTACGGCGGGCGGCGTCAATCATTAATATTTCATGAACAGTCCACATTTCCATTTCACAAAGTCCGCGTTTGAAGTCCGTTCTGTTGTCGGTTGTCTGTTGTTGGGTTTCCCAGCGCTTTGCCACAGCCGCTGCCGCTCTAGCTGGACTACCCCTTCTGCATTTAGACATCAAAATAAACGCAGACCCAGCCCCAGCCCCAGCCCCAACCAACGGACTGACTGACTGACACACTTGCGCCGGCAAGGACCTCTCTGCGTGCGCGTACACGAAAGACCAACCACATTTAATGACCAACAAAAGCGAATTTGTGGCGCGGGTGCAGACAAATGAATGGGAATTTTCCATTTTTCATTTAAATGCCAGGCATAATTGCTTTTTCCTGCAGCCACGTGAATGAGTGCGCGGATGTTAGGGGGTTGGGCGGGGTTGGGGCGAGGGGGAGGTCACCCGACAATTGCGAATGCAATTTGAAACAAAAAGGGAAATCCACTCAAGAAATGCAACCGCACAGGATAAATGGGGGGAAATAACCTTGTGCCGATGGGAAGAGGGAAAATAATGAGGGAAACTTTTGACCTTCGCGTACGCTGTCCATTTCATTCACTATTCATATGCAGACGAGTACTCGCATTCGTAGTCGTATCTAAATGGTTGTATTTCACTTGGGGCTTAAAGAGATACTTAGAAGATTGTTTTGCTATCTTTTTGGTTAAGATACTGGGTATCTACACAAGTACATATATAATCTGCTGCCATGTCACACGGAATCAAGTGTATTTCTAGTTTTTTAATTCATTAAAATGGGAAAGGTGCAGAAATACGTTAACGCAGAAGCGTAAGAAATAATCTTGTATGCCAGATGATCCCTCGTATCAGTATTATGGGAAAATTGTAAGCCTTGCACTCAATCTCTCTGCAATATATTTCCCTCTTTCCCAGTGCGACTTAGCAGCAAGGGTTGGGTGGAGTTTCGCATACTAGAACAGAGCGCACGACTCTCTCTCCTTTCCTCGTCATTCTGTAGTCAGACTGAAGGATTCTACTCGTCTCTCTCACTCACACTCTCCCTCTCTCCTCCAGTGTGGCTTAGCGGTAAGGATACGGGAAGAGAGCGCTCAGTTGCAACCTCTTCTCTCTGCTCCCACTAATTTTATATACAAATATCACATATCTATTTTAAATTAAACCAATTTAAAAATCATTAAAATAATGCAGCATAATTTGTTCTTACCAAGACAAAACTGTAATTAAATATATTAATAAGATAGCCAAAAGCTGAAAAACTAAGCAATCCCAAGTACTTTTGGGTCTTTTACTTCTACATTCTATATGGCAACAATTCTATGCATTAATTAGCGAAAATCATTCTCTAAGGCACTTCATTAATCTGAATAAATTCGAAAACGTAGATCAAGAGATCAGTACGGAGCGATGACTGGAAAGCACAGCACAAAAAAATAAAAAAAATACAAAAAGCTGCTCCAGAAATGTTTTTTTAAATTTGGAAAAATATATATAAAGAATATTACAAAGAGTACATATGTACTCGTATAAGTCCGATTGTAGGAATGAATCATGGGGAATACACAGAAATCTTTGCTTAAAATAAAGATTTTTATATTTGTATTTTGAACCGCCTTAAAAGTTTAAACGTTTTTAAGCTAGAACAAATTTGCAAAAATTTTATAAATTTATTTTCGTTACCAAAATAAATATATAAATAAATAAAATAAATAAATATTATTGGTATGTCTTGGTATGGAATTTTCTGGAATTATTCTTTTGTATTTTTGAGGGAACTTTTTGAGCATTTGTTGGCAATTTTTTTTGCTGTAGGTTAGCTTAAATTAGATCTATTAGATATGCCTTGAGACGTCGGCTACGCCGATGGCCTTGACCTTTTTTTTCGCCTAAGATTATATTTCTTGAACATAAAACATTGGCCTTTGGCTTTTCTCTCCTTCTCTTTCTCCACTCGTGACAGCAGCCCTCAGCATGCAAGCGGCGATGGACACGGCCGCCATGGCCATTGCCGTGGGCGTGGGTGGTTCCTCCAGCTCCAGCTCTGGACCGGGGAGCAGCAGCAGCAGCGGCAGCAGCAGCAGCAGCGGCTATGGCAGTGCCACGACCACGCCCACAACGCCACTGGGCAGCGGTGGAGGAGGAGGCGGAGGAGGAGGAGGACACTATGAAGCCTCGCCAACATCAATGCCAATGGCGACGATAGCCACAGTGGCGCCGTTCTACAGCGAGGCACTCACCTCATTGGATGCACAGCAGCGGCAGCAGCAGCAGCAGCAACACCAGCAGCAACAGCAGCAGCAGCAGCAGCAGAATCAATCGCATTTTTATCACCAGAACTACGGCTATGGGAATAGTCTGTCCTTGAGCTCGCCTCTGGATGCGGCAGCCTACAATGCGTACAGTGGGGCGTACAATGCGTACGGCAGCGGGGCACCCACTGGGAGCAGCAGCAGCAGCAGCAGCTATCAGGGCGGGGCACGCTACGAGAAGCTGGCACCAAGTTCGGGCTCCAAGTACAGCGGCGGAAGTGCAGCCATCGGTGGAGGTGGAGCAGCAGCGGGCGGCGGAGTAGGAGTGGGAATGAAGCCACAGGCTGCTGCCACGCCCTTCTATGCGCAACCCTTGGGACAGGCAGGCAGCACCGCAGGCGGAGGCGGTGCAGCAGGCTACATGATGAACACGAATCATCCCTACGATCCGTACAAGTACAAGATGCCCGGCCAAGCGGCAGCGCCGCCGCAGACGCACCAAACGATGGTGCAAGCGTCCAACCAGACGACGGCAGCCGCGGTGCAGCCTCAGTACGGCCATGGACTGGCCATGAATCCCAGCCAGAAGCAGCAGCAGCAGCAGCACCAGCACCACCAGGCGCAGCAGCAGCAGCAGCAACAGTTCACGCAGCTGGAGGCCAACTATGCGGCCATCAAGCCGAGCAGTCGCTACCAGAGCATGCCACCGTCTCAAGTGCCGTACGGAACGCCGCCAGGGGCAGCCTCCGCCGCCGTAGTCATGCCAGGCAATGCCACAGCCACGCCCTACTACGACAAGTACGGCGTCATGGCCATGCCGGCCATGTACTCCGCCAACGGGGGGGGACTGCCGCCGATGTACACGCCGCCGGAACTGGATTCGGCGTACCGCAAGTCGGGCAGCAGCTGCCACTGGAGCGTGGACTACAATGCCGCCAATTGTCGATCTCTGGCGCCAGTGGCTCCAGCGCCCAGCAGCTCCTACCATCATCCGCATCCAGGCGGAGGCGGAGGAGCAGCGCCAGGAGCACTCGCCCTGCCACCCAGCAATGAGATCTACTTCGGAGCGGGAAAGTACGACAAGTACGGCAATCCGGCGACGCCGTATGCCAGCAATCCGTATCCCGCGGGCATGGGCCAGCCGCCGTATGGCGGCCCAGCCGCACGGAACATGTGGTCGGTGGCGGAGAATCCCGCTCAGCCCAATCCCCGCCAGAATTGCTGCTCGCAGGCGGCCTATCCGCAGCAGAGTTGCTACTATCCGAGGAGCAATGTGCCGCCAGGACCACCGCCACAGCAGCAGCAGCAGCAGCAACAGCAGCAGCCGCAGCCGCAGTACGCGGGCAGTGGCGCCACGAAGCTGAAGCATCCGCTGACCTCTGACCTCTACGCCAGCTACGACACAGCCCCACCGCCCACGCAGCTGGGCTACGGCTACGGAACGGGTCAGCAGGTGGGCGGCGGAGCCTCGGCCACCAACATCAGCCCCAATCAGCGATATGTGGCGGCGCCACCCCTGAACATGGGAATGGGCATGGGGATGGGAATGGGGATGAGCATGGGCATGGGAATGGGCATGGGCATGGGCATGGGAATGGATCCGAGCATCAGCATGAGCGGTGGAGGCGGCGGCGGCAACTACTACAACGATCTCAATCTAAATCTGAACAGCCTGGAGAGCTACGTGCCACAGGTGCCGCCGCCGCAGATGCAGCCACAGCAGACGCATCGCGGCCCCTACCAGGAGTACCGCAAGCGATCGGGCATGGTGTCCGCCTCCTCGTCGGCAGCGGGCAACTGCTACCTGGGACAGCAGGGAGGCAGTGCTGCGGGACCACTGGGCGGAGCACTGACCAATCTGGAGGCGCATGTGGACAGCTATGTGGGCTACAGTCTGCATGCCACAGCCTCCAATTCGCACTTCGGCATGGAGCCCGCAAAGACGTCCCCGCAGACGTGCAACATACGCGATTTTCTGGCCACGTGGAACGACGATGAGGATGAGGCCGCCGCGGAACCACAGGCCACAGCCACAGCCACAGCAGTGGCATTGGTGGCACCGACTGTGCCAACACCGAATTTCATGTACGAATCTCTGGCACCGAGTGGACCGCAGGCCACCGCTGTGACGGTGGATCATCAGGCGGCGGCTATCAATCTGCCGGACATCATTATCGACATTGAGAAGGCTTCGAATGGGACGGGCATCGTCGTGCCATCGGGCGTGGTGGACAGCTTTGGCAGCTTCGATGTGGAAAAGGAGCTGGACGAGTTGCGCCTCAAGACGAGCGTCTCCGCGGAGCAGTGTCCCGCGGAGAACGATGCCCTGGCGGAGATTCTACGCGTGGAACAGCCAACCGCTACCGCTGCTCCCGCTGCTGTTGCTCCTGCTGCTGTTGCTGTTGCCACTGTGGCAGCTCTAGAGCTAGCTCTGCCCAGTCCCATTCTGCAGAGCGAAGCAGGCAGCATCCAGGCAGCGGTGGAGACAGCCCCAGCCACACTGGACTTTGACACGAACAACAGCTCCAATTCGAATGAGTCGACCTTTGCCAAGGAGTACGAGACATTCATACACAAGATCGAGGGCAGCGAGAGCGAAACGGAGGAGACAAATAATGCCCAGGACAACGGCGAATATCGGGAGCATGCAAAGCGCTTCAAGTTCTACAAGAGAAAGCGCAAGAACACGGAACCACTGGAGCAGCAGCAGCAGCAACCAGGGGAAGAGCAACAGCAGCAACCAGGAGAAGAGCAACAGCAGCAGCAGCAGCAGCCGCAAGAGCTACATCCACAGCAGGAGCAGCAGCAGCAGGAGCCTGTTGCGCCCAGTCCAATGGCAGTTACGCTCTCCCCACAGAAGTTGCTCGCACGCCGGCGTCGCAATCGCATCAAGATGCTTAAGATCCTGGAATTCGAGAGTCCGAAACTCAAGTACCGCCACTACTTCAAGGCCCTGAAGCTGCTGCGCAGGCGCTACGCCAGCAGCAGAGCGCGCGAGCAGCGCAGTGCGCTGATGCGACGACACTTGGCACTGCGCAAGGAGCGTCGCCTGCCGCCCATCAAGCGACTGATCAGGAAATACGCCAAGGGATCGGCGGCCGCAGCGCAGCTGTACAATCCGCCGAGCCTCAAGGGTCTGAGTGTTTCCGCTCTGAACACGAAGGCCTTTAGGAGCAGCCTGATGCAGTCCTCGGGTCGGGAGACGGTCATCAAGAGCGGCTACGGCCTACAGAAGAAGACTGAAGAGGAGATCGAGGATAGGGATCTGCTGGCGGAGGAGGGGGCCGAAGAGGAGAACACCGTACAGTCCGTGGATCTGTTGCCCCATTTCAAGGGCTTCGATGACATTGAGAATACGAATCTGTCGCCGCAGGCCAAGCTGCGTGTGGAGCCCGAGGAGGCGGAGGAGCAGGTGCTGGCACAGTCATCCGTGGCGGAGGTATCCAAGGCCAAGGAGCGCGAGATTCAGGCCTGGCTAAGGAACAACAGCATGGATGAGGATGTGGAGGCGTTGTCTGTTCCGGAAGAGCCAAAAGCAATGCCACTTGCTGTTCCATCGCCAGCCCCATCCTCCGCTTCCTCGTCATCAGCGTCGAGCTCGAGCTCCAGCTCTAGTTCCAGCTCGGAGGATGACAAGGAGTCAACGAGCAGCAGCAGCAGCAGCAGCAGCCAGGAGGAGGACACCTCGTCCAGCAGCAGCAGCAGCAGCGGCAGTTGCACCTCCGTGGCAGAGGCCGCTGAAACGGCAGAGGAGAGCGACTTCAATGAGATGGCCGCCCTGGAGCGAGAGCTCTCCCAATCGCAGATCCTGGAACCAGCAGCGAAACCAGCGGCCGCTATCCTGGAGGCCCAGCAGCCAATGTCGCTGGAGGCGCCACAGCTGCGTGTGGCAGCCATCCACGAGGAGATATCCAACAATGATATTGCCAAGCTGAAGCAGATACTGGAGAGCGATGGCGAGGAGCAGGCCACAGTTCGTAGCCAGGATGAGAGCCCAAAACAAACACCAAACCAATCCCCCAAGAAGTTCCCCTTCTCCTGCAGCGTACCAAAGCTAAGTGACCTTAGTAAAATTGCCTTAAATAGTTCCTTAAAAACTAGAGAATTAGACATAAGACCAAACGGGGATCCAGTGGAATCCCTGCCAGCCTTTGAGGATCGTGAGGAATCCCAGCAGCCGCCTTTGGAGGCCACCGAAGCCCAGCAGCCCCCTTTGCAAGCCCTCGAATGCCAGCCACAGGCAGTGGAAGAGGATTCGCTGCCTGGCACACCGCGTGAACTGAGCGTTGAGGATGCCCTGGCGGAGATGTATCAACAAATAGGCGTGGCCTCCGACCCTGAGGACTTTGAGGGCGACAAGGATGCCGAGACAGAAGCGAATGCGAATGGACAGGACATGCTGCTGATCAATCTGGCAGAGATATTCGATACCAGCAGCGATCTGTATGTGGTGCAGTGCGACATGAACGAGAACATCCTGGGTGTGGTGGCCAGCGAGCAGGAAGAGGAGGCGCAACAGCAGCAGCAGCAGCAACAGCAGCAGAATCGCAGCCAGGAGGAGGCTCTGCAACTCATTCAACTGCTGGCCGATCCACAGCCCGAGCTGATACACCACGAGGAGATCATTCCCGACAGACAGACAGCAATGCGGCAGCGTCGTCGTGAGTTCCTGAAGTATCTGCATGGAAAGTATGCCCAGAGTCCCATCGGTAGGTTCTACCATGCCCAGCGGATAGTCAGGAAGTACAGGCGCAGGAGCGGGGCAGCAGCAGCAGGAAGGCAGCAGCGGGAGTCCAGCTTCTACCAAAGATAGAGAGAGAGGATCACATCAGATCACAGATCAGAGCAGAGATCGCTTTAGCCCTGGGAGCCATTGGGGCGTGACGGAAGCATCAGGCGTGCCTAAATGGATACTAATTTCGATCCACACACACACACACACACACACATATATAGTAATAGATACATATACGAGTATGTATCTGTTAGATACACACACATTTCTAGAATCTCAAGACTTGGTTATTTTTTTGGATTTGCCTTAGGGACCGATAGAACCGTTTACATTTGATAATACTAGTAGCAGAATAATAGAAGAAGAATATAATTTGTATAGAATATTAATATTAATAGGGATATTAGATATAGATACACACATATACATATATATATTTTTTGGATATCTGTGCAATATTTTTTACATGGAAAAATGTCGCGTTTCAAATGCATAATTATAATATCTGTATCTGAAGTGCGCGTATTCGAATCTCGATGTATTTTTTAGGATGAGTAAGCAAAGTTAATCGTCGGGCTTAGAGAATGAGAGCGGGTTATTCGGTTCTGGCTTCGCGTGCAATTAACAAGAGATATATATATATACATATATATATATCTGCTGTATTTTATCGGATAATGTATCAGGCATTTTAGCCACTCACTGAGCCACTGAGTGGTGAGCAATTTTAAAACGCTTTTTGACCTCCAGATTGAGGGACATGCTCGGTGCCCCTATCATGACCATAAATGGGCCCTGCACTTGCGTGTTTGCCAGAACAGAACCCGAACCCCAACCTTGCCCCTCCCAGCCCCGCAGCTTAGCTTCTGTTTTGTTATTCTGTTAGCAACCAAAAATATATATGCAGCTTAGACCAAAAACAAAAAAAACACAATGTAGCAAATGGAAACCATAAATCTGTTGGGTATCGTTTTCGAACTGTTAGATCTTAGCCCTTAAAGACTTGTTTTGTTTTTAGTGGAATTGTTTGTTGGGTTCCTAGTTTCAGGATCGTTAAGCTTTCAACTAAAACACTTTTACACACACACACACACATTTTTATTAGCCAGCAGTTTAGCATAGGCAGCCTCCAAAACCAGAAGAAGCATCTTTAAGTGCAACGAATCTGGTGGAAAAAATCGCATTCGGAACGCTCATTTACATAAGATGCGGATGTGGAAAGTAACTCTTCAAGGGCACTGTTGCACGCAGACGTGCATGCCAGACAGACAGAAAAAAAAAACAGACCGAAAGGCGCTGCTGCATGACACGTTTAAGCAGCGGAAATGTATAAAAGTCTGCACAGTCTTTATGTGGATATCGGCTGGCAAACTGCTGGCTCTAGTTATAGCATCTTAACACAACTATGCATCTATCTTATAGAGATAGATAGTATCTATTTATCGATTTGAAAAGTAATCCACCTAGATGTCTTTATCTCTCTCTTGTAACACATTCCAAAGGACCAAAACTTTACACCACTTATACAAAAGTACACATACCCAAAACTAACTAACTAAATAAATCGAACGTATATCTAGCCTCGTTTGTAAGTGCATTCTAGAAACTTTTTAATATACAATTAAAATCGATTTGTAAATGTATTTTATTCGTTTTTAAATAATACGCTTAATTTTAGTACAAAGCAAAACAAAGCAAAATCAAATGCAAAATGCAGAATGCTAGCCCACTAAATGTTATACTATTAATAATAATGCTATTTATTATGGAATAATTGTACATAGTCCCCCCGCCCCCCCCATTCGATCTAGATGTCCACCCTTTGCCACACACAGTCCCTTACACTTTGCTATATCCGTAGCTACATATACTATAGTATATCTGAGCGGGTTTTGCAAAATTTACTTTAGTCTTAAGATTTGTGACTTTATATAAATGTGAGTGTCTTTGAGCAAAAACAAAAACAACAAAAACAAAAGGAATTACGATAAATGATATACGAAAAATCCTAAAAAGAGAAATAAATGTTTTATGTAAATGTTAATGGAGTGCGTGATTTATTTCTGGTGGGGGATCTTGGGTTTCTTTAAAGGTTTAAGGGATCTGGCAGTGCAGTCTATCCCTTGCCACGGAAAATACAAATGGTAAACAAAATCCAAAGACGAAATAAATGTTTTATGTAAAAGTTGATGCAACGAATTGATTTGATCTTGGGGAGCTTTGCTCTACTCTTGAGGTTTGCATCTATTGAAGTACATTGAAGTGAAACAGCTGCACCCGAAGCGACCCCAAGCCAAAGCGTTCTACCCGCAAGCCAACCGAGAGGCGCTGCTGCATGACAAGCGCTACCTAATGTAATGTTCAGAAGCAGATAAAAAGGGGAAACACAGCACTCTTTATAGTGATATCTGATTGAATAATTGGGAAATAAAATAAATCCCAAGACTAAGACAATTTTGTATGTACAACGAGTATGAAACGAGTGGATTTCTATCTTGAGATTCTTACGCTAACTTGAGATATGCAACTATTAGAGCGTGACTTCGAATGAGACCTAGACGGATACCACACAGAAGCCTAAACAGTCGCTGCTGCAAAACGCGTAAATGCAGAAATTTATCAAATTGATCAACTGTTGTCTTTAGTAGCTATAAAATTATGAGGATGGATTTTACTTTCGTTTCACATGTTCCTTTTGAGACAACTTCAGTATTACAAATATCAGTAATTGCTTACTGCGATATTCCATCTTCAAGCGACATTGAATCCAAATGAATCCCAAGATGAAACGAATCAATTCGCTGCCTGTGAACTTTCCTCTAAAATCTCTACCGTACAATCCAAAAGATGATGCGCCTCGTTTCGAGCTTTGCTATTGTACAGAAATATTGCAATTTATTTTGTAGAATTAAAAAAGAACAGCACAGTTCACAAATCTAGAATTTGCAGGCTAAAAGTAAAAAACCAACTCTGGGGGTAGGCTCGAGTCAAGGATCGTTCCAGGATCGTTACCCATCGCTGCCATCGCTTATCCATCGCTTGAACTCTAACTTTGGTTTCGTTTCGTTTTTGTGCTCTCCTTCGAGGGCTCTTTGGTCTCTCTGTCTCTCTGCTGAAGGCTCTGCACTGCAGTCTCCATAGTAATATCAGCATGAATGCTTCTCCTCGCTCTCGCTGATCCTCCCTCTGCCGAGTGGGTGCCCTACTCGTAGCTGTCGAAGTAGCGCTTCTTCAGATCTGGCGGATACGTGACATAGATGTAGTGCTCGTTCTGGCCCAGCCCTGCCTCGTTCTGCACAATCTCCTGGTTGGAGGAGGAGGCGCGCAGCGATTGCTGCGATGAGCCCACATGCCGGTGACGCGTCTCCAGTGGACGGGGATGCGTGTTGTAGTGGCGCTGCTGCTGCTGGGCCTCGCCTCCGATGCCAGAGGCTGAGGCACTGCTCACCACACTGGTGGCTATGGGTCGGCCAGAGCTACTTGTATAGTCGCGTCGGTCTAAAATGTCCTGTGGGTAGCCCAGGCTTGTCGAGTGGCGATGCTGCAGGTGCGGATGATGCTGCTGCTGCTGATGCTGCTGCTGATGCTGGAGCGGATGATGGTGCAGTGGCGTATTGGCGTTGGAGGAGGACGATACCACCACTTGGCGTACGCCCCCGGCTGTGGGTGTGCCCTGACCCTGACCCACCTGACCCACTTGACGCGGATCGGCGATGTAGTGACGCGGACTGTGCCGATGATATTGCACTGGTTCGGGGTACAAATCTCGAGCGGCTGCCGCCTGTTGCTGTTGCTGCTGCTGGTAGTAGTACTGCTGCTGTTCTCGTTGCTGCTGTTCCATCTCCAGCTCCAGCTGCTGGTCCGCACTCAGACCAGGTATCCCGCCGCCGTCCAGGTCGAGGTCGTGTCGCGTCGCATAATCGACATGGTAGTGATGGTGGGCACCGGGCATGTAGATGCTGCTGCTGCTGCTGCTGGTGTGTGTGCCGCCGATGCCGCCCGGCACGTAGTGATTGGCATTGATTGTCGTCTCTTCGGAGCTGAAACAAATGACTTGGGTTCGATCAATCTCAATGGGAGAGATGGCACAGCCTCGAGTTCGAGGCCCGCAGGGGGACACTTACTCGAAGAGTATCCAGATGATGTAGTAGCAGAAGCAAATGCCCGTCGACAGCACAAAGATGAGGATGACAATGAGGCCCCAGGGGAAGGCACGCGGCTCCAAGGGACCATCCTCCCAATAGCGATCGCAGGTGAGGTACCAGCACACGGCCTTGTTCATCTCCTCTGCGGAAAGTGTATATCGATTAAATGGATGCACATTTATGATCTGTAGCACCCACCTTCCATCTCCTTGAAGGCCTGATCGGACATCGACAGCAGGAGTCCGCCTATGCAGCTCCTCAGCAGGAGTTCGCAGCGCGTCTTCAGTTTGCTCAGCTCCTCGGGCTTGCAGTTGGCCCTGGCCTTTACGCCATTGCCGTTGCCCGAACCCTCCTCCATTTTGGCCGCATCCTGCTGGCCACTGGCCTCCGCATCGTCACCGCTCTGCTCCTCCTTCTCCTCCGTTTCGTTTAGCTTCGTCTCGGAGTCACCGTCCGCGGATTCGTCGCCGCCGCCGCGCTTCAGGCCCAGCTCCTTGAGTTTCTTCAGCAGCTTCTCCCCAGCGGACTTGGGCCTGGCCGCCGAACCATCCTCTCCTGCTGCTGGATCTGAGCGAAGAGGGTTGACTGACGAGTGCCAAAAAGGGTATGTGTTTTGGGTATGGGTATGGGGATGGGTGGATGGGTTGGGATCGAGTGCTCACCTGCGGGCGACTGCTGCTCCTTGCTACTGCTGCTGCTGCTGCTGCTGCTCGACGGCTGGATTGGCTTGTCTTGGAGTAATTGACGGTTTTGTACTTTGGCGGCACGCGAGGCACCCAATGTGGAAGTTCTGCATCGAGAACGGGCAATTAAATGTGAAATGATTGGCCCCAAAAAGGGGCAAAGCAGGGAAACCCACCTTGGTATTAAGCTCAAGTATGCGGCATTCGCTTTGGCCAACGCTGAGTTCTGGCCCAGGGAATCGCCCCAGACTTCAATGTCCGTGACAATGTGATCCCCGAACTTGAGGCTGGTGGCATCCTCCGTTTCGAACACCTCGCAGCGCATGATGTCACAGAAATCGGCCAGACAAATGGAGTCCATTGCCTCATTGATGATCGTCTTGTGGCGTGTGTCAAAGTGCAGATCCAGATGCCGTTCCTGGTAGAAGCTCTTGCCACACCGACGACACGTCCACTGGGTGGGACGATCGCGTTGCTTGGCATCTTGGCGCGGGGCAAAGACATCCCGAAACGGATGCAGCGGGCACTCAAGCGGGAGCTTCACCTAATCGAAATTAATGAATAATGTTGCAGGCAATGATGCGAGGGCGGGGGTGTGGGGATGCTCTCACCTGATGCTTATCCAATATGGGCGTCCATTTGGAGCGGACTATCTTGCGCACCAGCCGGCTGTTATCACGCGAGCAGAGAATCTTGATGACATTCGTGGGCGGCCATGGTATCAGCAGCAGAAAGTAGACCAGTGCAATCTGGGGAGAATCGGAATTGTGGATGGATGTGAAAGTGGACGATGAACTCGGGACGCATACGGGACACGCAACTTGCCGGCGAGCGACCCAGCACCCCAGCCCTCAACCCTCCCTTAGAGCCCACTTACCCTGTTTTTTTTTTTTTTTGGGTCACTTAAAGTAACAGGGACATAACCCCGCGGGCCGCAGAAAATCAATAAGAGAGTGGCAAAGGCAGGGGGGGCGGGTTTTGGTTGCGTCTTCACGGCAAATCCGCCGTCCGAAATGGGGACCATGGGACCATCGACTGAACAACTCACCTCGAAATGATGATATTTAGGCGACATTCATACTATGTATTTGTGGTCGCTTGCTGTGTGCTGTGGGTTGGGTTGGGTTGCAGCCGCAGGATTTAGGAATTCAGTTTGCTATATGTATATAAATCGTTTCAGTTTCTCAGGCGTTGCTTTTTTTCAGGTTATGTTTGGCAGCACACCCAATAAACGGAGCTTCCTCCGCTGGCTACACTTTAAGGTAGCTCAAGATATTCTATGCCTTGTGGAGTTTACAGAAAGCGTTTAACCTTTTTTATTTTAATTTCGGTTTAGCTATAAATAAAAAAAAAACCTCCTGATTCGAGCCTGTTCTACGTCCGCACTGGTGAAAATTTCTCTGCTCTCTGAAAGCTAAATTATTACTTCCTGTAGTTGCTCTCTTCCGTTCAGCGTTGTCCTGCGCCGCCTATCGCCCAGCTGTTGGCAGGGTTGCATTCGATTTAATACTAAAACAAAAGACGAATGTTGTGACTTGTGGCACATTCGCTTCCACATTCCACTTGTAAAACTTAACTCTCTCTGGGACTAACTAACACATGGGACGTCCGCGCACCATAGACTTAACCAACTTGGTGGTAATATACCCCGATAGGAGCTACTGCCGCTGCGTGATTTGCGATAGGACACTCGCTGGCTACAAGCTGAGCAACATCAAGCGTCATTACCAGCGGCTGCATCCGGAAGTCGTTTTGCCACAGCCCCAAGACACCACAGGGCCCATCGCAAAAACGAATAATTCAGTTACAGCGATAACAGGGATGGGACGAACACCGCTGATGGACGCGCGAGCGCTGGCCAACGTTCAGCCGGACGAAAGGCGCTGCCGTTGCCGGATCTGCGACAAGACACTCATCTTCTCGTCCGGTAATGTGCCGCGTCACTGCAAGAACTCTCACCCCCAGAACCTACCGGATCGGTCGCTGCGCAATCGTCCAGTCGAGAATAGAGATCCTACCATGGAAACGGACGACGAGGATGAGATCGCCTCCAGTAGCAGGCTCTCCAATGAACAGATCGAGAGCATCTTTATTGGCAAGTCAGAGGTATCAGATGTAGTGGATGTGGATGTGTCAGACGACGACCAACTGATCGATGCCGATGAGATGCGCTTCGCACAGTCACTTAACCAGTCGCAGCCGCCCATTGCAGCGCCCTTGACGACGAACAGCTCACCTTCTGCTACAGTGACTTCCACTGTAGCTCTCGCACCAACCACAAGCCGGTCTGGAGACGACGCCTTCTTTCTTCAATATGTGGGCAATAAGTTTGGGAATTATTCCACTCGCACCAAGAACACGGTTCAGTTCCAAATCAATCGCATCTTGTACAGGGCCGATATGGGCTGCTTCGAGAAAGGCGAATCGAAAAATTTAAATGTATCAGAAATAGACTAGAAATAAGCCGAATACATATCCTGTTGTTACATTTGATTCTACCCATATCATTGTAGCATTTATATATCTTATATATATACATAAGTAAATGTGTCTTAAAAATTGTGGATAACACAAATGTTCGCTTCGCTCTATGTCAGCAGTCAGCACAAAAAATTTGGTTGCTGTAGCTATTATAGCCTCTGAGAACTAGCAGCGGAAACGCTGCCTTCGGTCTACATATGTAACTCTAATGGAATCTAATATACTCCTAAACAAACTCATAAATTAGCGTGCATAAGAACTGAATACTGAATATAATTTAAGTCCGTTTCTGTTTTGTGTTTATTCTTTTTGTGGCTTGGTTTTTGTCCTGCAATTCCATTTTGTTGTTGTAGGGGCAGGAACTGCAAATAGTTTTCCATTTGCTATTTTACAAATTTCTAAACTAAAATTAAATTGGTTTATAGCACAACTTTCTGGAACAAAGTCATCGTTAAGGGGGCGTTTTTCGAACCGAAATCGCATAGTTTTAGACATTTAAATACTAGGGTACAGCCGGAGAGCGATCAGTCCAGCCCATCATTGGGGCGGGATTCACAGTCCATTGTAGACGCGATTGATGGGCGATTGGTCGAGTATTTTCTTGAGCGCTGCAATAGAATAGGAAGTGGGATTAATATGGGCTGACAGTTGGGGGGCATGCTCGACCACTCACCTTCCTTGTCCTCTTCCGTCAGATCCTTCTTGGGGAACTCCACATCGAAGGTGATGTACAGAAAGCCAAACAGGTTGTTGTTCTCAAAGTTGGGCATGCCCTCGCCCTTCTTGCGGATGCGTGCACCGGGCCATGTAATCTTCTCGCGCATTACCGACACCAGGTGGCCGTCCAAGTGCTTGATGTCCATGCTGAAGCCCATGAGGGCATCCTGCAGACTGATGGTCACGTTTGTGTACAGGTCGTCGCCCTTGCGCTGGAATCGCGGATGGGGCATCTGCTGGACACGCACCAGCAGGTCGCCGGGCTCGCCGTCAATGTGGGGCTCTCCCTCGGCCACGAAGCGCGTCTCCTGGCCATCGACCATGCCCTGCTCCACCTCGATCTCGAGCGTGCGCTCCTCGTTGACCAGTTTTATGTTGGGGCACTCGTCACAGACGGTCTGCTGGATCATCTGGAAGCGGCCAGGGCCCAGATTCCGGGTGACCATCTCCTGGCGGCAATTGCACTTGCGCGTGCCCGAGGCGGGCTTCATCACCGGCTTGTTCCGCACAATCTCCACAAAGTTGCCCGAGTAGAGCTCCTCCAGCGACACGTACATGCTCATGACGATGTCCGCGCCCCGCAACGCATCCTGCTGGTGCTGATCTCCATTACCGAAGGGGAAGCCAAAGTCGCCGAAGAAGCTGGCGAACGGATCGCCGCCATGGTCCATCATACCCTCCTTCTTCAGGCAGTCCTCGCCGCACCGGTCGTAGGTCTTCCGCTTGTCGGGGTTCGACAGCACCTCGTAGGCGGCGCCCAGGTCCTGGAACTTGCTCGACGCATTCGCATCGTCCTTGTTCTTATCCGGATGCAGTTCTTTGGCCAGCCTGCGGTACGCCTTTTTAATTTCGTTTGTGTTGGCGTTGCGCTGCACGTTCAGAATTTTGTAAAAGTCCCGTCCGGCGAGTGCCACGTCCACCAGGAGCACCGCCAGCTGCACCAGCAGCAAGCTTTTGATTAGCTGCATTCTGTTAGTTGTACTTATGTCGATTCCGATTAGTTTAATAAATGTAATTCATGCTATTTTGATAAAAACTTTGCTGGCAAAATTTTGTCGTCGACGCTAGCTACGTTTGTGTGTGTGCGTCGTGGTCGGCGTTGATTGGCTGTGGCACCGGGTTGCTAGGGTTGTCAATTGTTTTGACTGCGAGATTGCCAGCTGATATTTAACACTCTTAGCCCCATTGTCAATTCCATAGTATATACTGGTTTACGCACACACACACGTAACTATGCTCATATGTCGGGCTGTTGCTCCACTTAACTACAGGTTAGGTTACTACTGTTACTAGATAGTTAATAAGTTAACGTTACTTTACGTAGTTGCTGTACGTAGTTAGTTTCAGCATTTAAGCTAGCTTAAGCGCTTTGGCGCGCCGCGTCCACACTCACACAAACACACATATCATAACGGATCTTTCACTAGGGCTGGATTGTTGCCGAAACGATAATATCGATATAAATTTATAAATTATATTTATATAAATTGGAATTGAGATGTATCTCATGAGATCTGAAAAACACGATGGCTATAACTATAGAAGTCTTTCTATAACTATAGCTCCTGCTAAGGATTGGTAAGGACATAAACTGGACCTAGACGTACAACAATCGATAGTATTGTGTGGGCAAAGATTTGTATGGGAACAATTTCAGCAACATGGTGAAATGAATTGGCAGGATTGTTGTACAGCTTTGGCACGGACTGAGAAACAATCTGCATACCTTGGGAAAATGGATATTATAGAATAGAGATATTTTTTTGTAAGTAGTTGAGGAGGGAGAGGAGAATTCACAAACAGCATTATTTTCAGCGGTTTAACTGAAGATGATATACACTCAAATAGAGGGGGGCCAAGTGGGTTAAGTTCGATAAGTTTCGATAAACCCGCTAGATGTTAAGCCAAACAAATTGTTAATCCAATTAAACTTTTTCGAAAAAACAGTGGTCAGAGGGATTTGACAGTGACTGCAGTTCTTGCCATTAACTTTATTGAGATTTGCTCGGTTTTTGCCATTACCCAAGTGCCTTAGAGCCAGTGATTGCCATTTGTTTGCAGATACTGCGCCTGCCTTTGCCTAACCTAACAGGTACAAATTGTTTTGATTTGTTGCTTTCCCTTGAGTTAGTTGCATATTTAACGGTAATTTTGCAACACTATTGGCCATCCATTAAGCCACATTTGTTGGAAAATTAACTTGCATAATTAAAGCCAAGGTCAACAGCTATAACTACAACAGCAACAACAACAACAACATCATCTAAACAAAAGTCACGACCCGCCTTACCTTATTTTTGTGTGCGCGAAAAAAAGGTGAGTAATGCAATGCACTGGAATACTTATGTAGCAAGTAATAATACACATGTTAATTAGGTGTAGAGAGATTACCCCTTGGCAGTGATCTCGACCTGTTTCAGCAGCGAGGCCCTGAACAGCAATTGAGCTGGTTAGCCGGTCATTGATCAGAACAGAAGCTGTGCACAGCCACAGCCACAGAATCCAATTCAGTTCAGTTCTCCAAGCGGCCCGGTTATCGGCAACCGCTTTTCCATTATAGTTTTCCTTGTGTCTGCGGCTCGTTATCAGCCAAGAACAAAGAGAAGTACGAGTGCATAGTCCCAATAACCCGGTTTGAGTCACTCAGTTCGTGCACAAACAAAGGCAGCTAAAAGTGCGATATGCACTCGGACTTTTGATAAAAAACCAGGCCTCGTCTCTATTACATTTCTGTTTTCTCACAACTGGACATTAGAAGTTCCAAGTCATCTGAATATCTGGATTGGACTGTCTGCCGGTAGTATCTCCAGTAGCTTATCTTATCGATGCCATAAATAGGAACTCCTTGTGCTACGCAATTTCCCAGTAGCTGCACTCAAGCACTACACATGTAATTGTCCGATAAGAGCTACGGAAGCCAATCTCATATCCATTTGTATAATCCGTAGGAAGTTGCCCCCATAGGAAATGTAAATGTAAATCCTTGACCATCATTATCAGGCACACAAATCACAGATTAGCCAAAGCCAAAGATTAACCATTGAGCAGAATAGTAAACTTCAAGTGGAACAATTTAAAGCCACAATCAGTAGCGCTGGCAAACAGTTTCGCTTTGTCTGCGGCAGCGTGCGGTCCAGTCCGGTCACGTCCTTCTCCTCCGTTGCCTTAAAGTTGTGATAGCCCCACTCTTCAGTTGGACAGTTCGTAAGTTGCTATCCGATAGAACGCACCCCAAACGCTCTCGATTGGTGGCCAAGACATTTGCGGATGTCTGCACTTGAAACACACTCGAAACCGAGTTGACATGGACTGGCAGAGTAATCGGTTGGGGCTTGTCATAGTGGGTGCAACACATTCAAATGGGTTCGCGACTTAATCGTAGATGCTTATCGAATACTTAAGTATGGGCAAAAAAAAAAAAAACAGCGATAAGCCACCGGTTGGCCATTATTAATAGCTCTGCAGGGGTTAGCCAGGAATGGACTGAACGTCAATAAGCCAATAAAAATTCCCCTGATAGCCAGCCCCCCCGATACGTTTTATTGAAACAGATTATGCAAGCGAAAATAACTCAATGAAATTCCACTCACTTTCCAGATGCAACACAGCAGCGTTTAGGCAGCATACTTGTACTTTTAGCTTCTCCAACCGTAAGTCTTTGGGCATATAATCGCTCAACATGTGCTGCAAGTGCTGCGGGGAAACACAACGCAAGGCCTGGGTCTTTGGCCTGGGCTCGCTCTTCATGTTGCTGGGCATCCTTCTCGTCGTCTTTTGGCCCGGTCTGGCCGACAATCTAGTGGAGGATGTAAGTAGTTTCTTCACTTCTTTGATCCTTTCAATAACCTTTCTCCATCGTCGCCGCTTAGGGTCTCAAACTGAAGCCGGGCACCGACACCTACGACAGCTGGCTGGAGGCGCCGATTCCCATTTATCTTAGCTTCGTTTTGTTCAATTGGACGAATCCCGAAGAGATTCGCAATCCGAACGTGAAGCCCAACTTTGTGGAGATGGGTCCGTATGTGTTCCTCGAGAAGCACAAGAAGGAGAATTTCACCTTCTACGATAATGCCACGGTGGCCTACTACGAACGCCGCACCTGGTTCTTTGATGCGGAAAAGTCAAACGGCACGCTGGATGACATGGTGACGGCTGCGCATGCCATCACCGCCACGGTGGCCGACGAGATGCGGCATCAGAAAAAGATCGTGAAGAAGATCATTAACTTTATGCTAAACCACGAGGGCGGGGAGCTGTACACGACGAAGCCCGTGGGCGAGTGGATCTTCCATGGCTACCAGGACGATCTCACCGATTTCCTGAACCTGTTCAACACATCCGTAATCGACATTCCCTACAAGCGCTTTGGCTGGCTGGCGGATCGTAACGAATCGCTAACATACGATGGTCTCTTCACCATTCACACGGGCACCGACAACATCGCCAACGTGGGCAAGCTGACGCACTGGAACGGCAAGGAGGAGACCGGATTCTATGACATGCCCTGCGGCGTTGTAAACGGCACCACCGGGGATCTCTTTGCGCCCAAGATGAATGTCAAGGAAGAGATCACCATTTTTGCCACCGATGCCTGTCGCTTCATGAACCTCAGGCCGGCGGGCACCTTCGAGAATCACGGCCTGACTGCCACCCGCTGGGTGGGCACTGAGGAGACCCTCGACTCTGGCGAGAATTATCCGAATCAGGCCTGCTTCTGTGATCCCCGGCTGGAGGAGTGCCCCAAGACGGGTGTGGTCGAGTGCAAGGCCTGCCGCGACAAGGCGCCCATCTACTCCTCATTCCCGCACTTTTACCTGGCGGACAAGCATTATGTGGATGCGATTACTGGCATGAAGCCGGACAAAGCGAAGCACGAGTTCGTCATGGCCATAGAGCCCACAACGGGTGTGCCCGTCCAGGTGCACGCCCGCATTCAGATCAACATGATGATTGAGCCCGACGATGATTTCGAGTGAGTTTTATAGTCTGTAGATTTATCGTTCCATATTCTATATATATTATTTTGCATTGCAGCATCTATAGAGGAGTTCCGAAGGTGCTGATGCCCATGTTCTGGTTTGATCAGTACGCAGAGCTCTCGCCCGAGCTGGCAGCCAAGGCCAAGGTATAGATACATCGACATTGCCAACTAGTATTTCTCCCTCTCTTCAACTTTCAATTGCATCCCTTTCAGTTGGCCATAAATCTGTCCTCCTATGGCACTATCTTTGGCTATTCACTGGTGGCCTTTGCCAGTCTCTTCATCATCACAGGCGTCGCACTGACGCTGACCAAGCGTTGGGTGCGTCGCGCCGACGACGAGGACATGCTGACAAACTGAGTAGGATGGGGCCATAGCCGTAGTTGTTATTATTAATAGCCAAAGTGCCAATGACAAATTAACACTACTAGTTCATGCTGATAGTCGCATCGTTTGTTGTTACGCGCTATGTATTATTTAACTGTTAGCCGGTAGTTCGCCTTCAACATTCGTCGTGCATTTTGTGATAGCAAACCCTAATCCTTAATCCCTCTAACTTTTAATCTATATATACGTAACACCCACAAAAAACAGAGATTACCTTCCTACACTTTGAATTTTTCATTTTTTTTTATTTCGCAAACATAATTTTTACAACACGTTTTTGTTTTTTAATCAAGGACTTTTGTTTTATTTACTTATCGTATACAATTGTTGGATGTGCTTCAACGATTTTTAACGCTTTATAAATGCATTAATTGAATGCTGTTTTTTGTTGTTGTTTGTAAAAATAATAAATTAAAATAATTGTATATGTATAGATATATATATATAATGGTTTTATATATATATATATATATATGTAAGATATATATGGCAAAAATTTTTACATTTTCTCAAAAATCACATTACTCAATTTAGCCATAGACTTTTAGTCGAGAAAAATCTACGCAAATATTTGTGACATCCATCGAAAAACTCGAAATCATTTTTGCACACACACAAAACACACACATTCTCTCCAGAGGGGTTGGCTTGGTTAAACGACAAAAGATAATAATAATAAAAACACAAAAATGGATACAAAAAAATATATAGAACGTTATCAACTCTCTCTCGTTTTCACTCGCTAAATTCAGATACGGTGGGTGTGAGCGGGGGCGGTGTTGGTAATGGGCAAGTCTGGGCACTCTTGAAATTCTTTAGTTCCTTTCGTCCAGCGAATGTGCAATACGATACAATACAATATACGATATACGGATCATACGTATGGATCATTCGCTGGAACCGATTCGTTGTGGTGGTATAATGTGTGCGTGAGGGGGTGAGTGAGGGTGGGGCGATTCTACGTACTATAAAAATTTGCATAGTTTTTGTTTTGTTTTGTTGCATTCGATGTTGTTGTTGTTTGTTGTTCTTGTTGCTGACTAAAGTAGCATTAAAATGTAGTTAAGTTTAAAGTTAAAAAAATCAATCACAGTTGTTTGGGCGGAAGTAGTTGTAGTTAGTGTAAGTATTCGCATCTGGCCTAAGTTGCCGCTACTAAGACTATTCGTATTAAGCTTTAGTGTTTAGTGTAATTAAGTAGTTGTCGTATTTTATACTTGAGTATTGTTTCCGTTTCTCGTTTCTCCGTAGTTAATATAGTGGTGCTCCTACCTCTCTCTTTCTCGCTCTCTCTCTATCAATTCTCTCTGGTTTTTTGTTTTGTTTTTGTCATTCTCTGTATGGTTGTCTCTGTCCCTCTTCTCTAACTGTGACTAGACTGGGTTCTGTTATTTGAATGCGTTGTTCTTGAGGTTCTTACGTTACGTCGCGTTACGTTCGTGTTAAGCTGTTAAACTGTTACTGCACTGTTAAACTGTTACTGCACTGTTAAACTGTTACTGCACGTTAAACTGTTACTGCAATGTTACTTTTACTGCACTGTTACTTTTACTGCACTGTTACTGTTATGCTTCTGTTCTGCTGCTGTTTAGGGGTCTGTTTTGTGGTTCTAGATCTGTCCGAATTCTTCTGTCTACGCACCGCGTCCGAAACACTGTGATCGATCTCTCAACTCCAACTCTCAAACTCTCAACTCTCGACTCTCGATCTATGCAAATCTTTCCAATTGTAGCATGCCACCACACACACACACACACACACATCACAAATACACATATACAAACACATCAAACAGCAATTCGAACTAGAGAGAAGAGTGTCGTCTGGCCTTCGCTTCGCTTCGCTTTGCTTTCCTTCCCATTTCCGTTTCTCCGTTTTAGGTCTGCGAGTTGTTGTAGCTCTTGTGGTGCTTCATCACCACAGCGGGATCCATGACATAGTTGTTGGCCTCCGCCAGCTGCTGTACGGGCAGCGGCGGCAGCTTGTCCTGCGGATGCCGATGGCTGACCACTGCAGCAGAGTTTTGCTTTCGCGTTTTGCTCAGTGTTCCAGCGCCGCCGCCCGAATAGGGCGACGTGGAGTTGGAGTTGGCGTTTCCATTCGCATTGGCGCTGGCGCTGGAGGTGGAGGAGGAGGTTGCTGCTGCTGTTGCTCCTCCCACTTCGTTGGCATTCTTCGGATTGACCATCACCTTGGTCTGCTTGAGCAGCGATCGATCGTTGCACAGCGCCGAGATGAGTGGCAGATCCAAGTGCTTGCTCTTCTCCCGCAGCAGGGCAATGTCCAGTGCCTGGGCCTGTGCCTGTGCCTGGGCGTGACTCTGCGCTGCCATGGAGGCCTGCAGCTGGGCCAGAATGCTATTGCCAGCGCGATTCAGGCCCACGCCCATATCGGGCCTCGGCCGCTCTCCCGCCCACTGGGCGCCGCTGGAGGTTTTGGTCAGCGGACTGTTGGCATTGTGGGGATTCAGCGTGGGCGGCTTGCGTGGCGGCAGGATGCACGACGACGTGCTGGGACTGGGTTTCGAAGGAACTGAAACAGAGCAGAGAGTGTGGAATTAGCAAAGGGTTTGGGCTGGGGTTCGGTTTTGGGGCAGCACTGGCCTCTGCACTCACTTGGTGGCGGCTTCTCACTGGGCGCCGGCATGGGCGGCTTCTTGAGGCGCCTGTTCACATAGGGTGGCGGCGGTGGCGGCGGCAAGCGCCTCCCTTTGGGCATCGAGTCGAGCGAATTCAGAATATTGTCGTCTGATCGTGATCGTGCGAACATCGAGGAGGCGTTGGCGCTCGCATTGGCCGCAGCGGCAGCGGCCAGCGCCGCTGGATGCAGCGGTGGCGGCGGCGGTGGCTCGTACGAGGAGCACAGGCTGGCCATCGAGGGCGAATAGAGCGGCGAATATCCGGCGCCGGGCAGCTGGACGTACGTGTCCGACAGGTTCTGGGTGGAGGCGTAACGCGAGTGCGTGGACAGCGCCAGCGGCAGGTAGGGCGTGCTCCGGTAGATGGCCGGCGACACCTGCATGGCCAGGTATGGGTGGTGCGGCGGTGGTGGTGCCTGGGCCATGGCCGCCAGCAGGGATCCCTGCTTGGAGTCCAGATACTCCTGCTGGCTGACGGCCGGATCCTGTATCGGGTAGATCACGTAGTCCACGTCGCTGTACAGCTGTTGCTGATACAGTTCCAGCTGCTTCCGCGCCAGCTGACTCGTGTACAGATGATGCCCGGCCAGATGTGGATGTGGATGTGGATGCGGATGCTGCAGCTGGTGGGGATGGTGTGCTGGCGGTGGTGGTGGCGGCGGCTGGCGTGGCAGACTGGGCGGCGGCGGTGGCAGAAACTGGCGCGGCTTGATCACCGGCAGCAGGACGCACGCCTGCTGCGTCTGCTGGTGGTGCAGCGAGGCGGTGCTCTTGTGTAGGCCGTAAGGAACTATCGGTATGCCAATGGCCGCCGAGCCCGAGTGCCGATGGTGCGGATGGTGCGCCGGATGCTGGTGCGGATCCACCATCCGGTGGTGTGGATGCGCATGCGGATGCGTATGGTGGTGCAGGGACGCCTGTGAGCCGGAACCCGCGTAATTGGAGTTGTGCAGCGACTGCTGCGACAGCTGGTGGCTGCACACCGATCCGCTGGAGGACGCTGCCGAGGAGCAGTGGTGTGGCGCCGCATAGCTCGGCTTGGCCCCGTCGGGCAGGAGGCTGGTGTGCGCCTTCAGGATGCTGATCTGCGGTCGCGTCGTAATGAAGCGCGCCGTCGCCTCCTCGCACTTGAGAGAACTCAAAGATCCGGCCGTACTGGGCGCCGGATTGGCCGAGGAGGCCACCGAGATGAGCGACGTGGGTCGGGGCTTGCTGCTGCTGGGATATGGCGGTGGATCTCTGCGTCGCAGAGACGCCACCGATGGCGGCGGTGCTGTGGGCGGCGGCGGTGGCGCCGGACTGGGACTGGGCGGTGGCTCTGGCTTGGGCGGCGCTGCCACTACGATGGGCATGGGCTTGGGCTTGGCCACTGTCTTGGGCATGGGCGGCACTGGCGGTGGCGCCACTGGCGGTCCACACAGGCCCGTCTTCTCGTGCCGTGCACTGTACGGCGGTGGCGGTGCCGGCGGCAGCTCCTGCTCCTCGTCATCCGCCTCGCTGGTCGCCTCCAGGGGTATGGGCATCGTCACGTAGTCGCAGTCCGAGTGCAAAGTGCTGGACACGGTCTTGCGACTCGGGTAGGTGCCACGGCCCACGATGAGGTTCGTCAGCTCCTCGGCGGAGAGCAGCGAGTGCTTGTTGTCCGTGGGATCGCTGCCATCGCCGCGGAAGGAGCTGCCCGTGCTGATGTTCGAATCGGAGCGCAGCCGGAACTCTGCACGCTTCTTGCCGCCATCCACGAGGTCTGTTGCAAGAGAATTTTGTGATTAGAATTAAGTGGAGAGAATATTAATTGATAATGCTTACCCAGTACAAGGTCCGAGGGTCCCCCGTCCTCCATCTCCATGGACTCTGTGGGCTGGAACATGCCGTAGTGTGAGCTCTTCTCCGACTCGGCCATCTCCGAGGACTGGCCCGTCAGCTCGCTGCTGTGCATCGTATACACGCCGGAGGTCTCTGTGGGGGGCGCGCCATGCGCGAGCGTGTACACGCCCGAGGCGCCGGATACGCTCTCCGGAAAGTCCTCGGCGTTCGTTTCACTCAGCGCCGAGTTCTGCGCGGTGTGGCTGAAGCCCAGCTCCAGGCTGGACGATGTCGAGTGCACGGCTATGCTGCTGGCGGTTGTGGCTCCTGAGTCGCCCACGCCGCTCACGGGCGATGTCACCACCACAGTGCTGCACGTGGAGGAGCACTGGGAGCCAATGTTGTGCTGGGAACTGGGCGAATCCGTGGCCGTCGAAGAGTCGTTGGCGTTGGTGTTGCACAGAGAGGTTCTGGGCCCCGAGGAGGAATTGCTGCCCGATATGCCAGATGCTCCGTTGCCAGATGACGTATCCGTTGGGCGCACGCTCAGCGCCGCCAGCTGCTCTTCCAGATCTTTGAGGGACATCTGGCCCACGGACGAGGTCTGCCTGCTGACGCTGGGTCTGTCCAGAAGATGCGCCAGGGCCAGGCTCTCGGTGGAGGGCGCTGCCAGCGGTGCTGGCGGCGTGTTGATCATGATCTCCAGCTCATCCTCGGAGTGGACGCGATCGCTGACAATGCCCGAGGTGGTGTTGGAACTGGTGCTGGATATCACCGAGATGCGCTGCTCGTTCTTGCTCTTGTACGGCAGCAGCAGGCTCCGGGAGCAGGCGTAGCTGGCGTGCAGGCGATTCGATTCGGCCTCCTCCTCCTCCCGCTTGTGGGCATCCTTGAGGCGGGCCGCCAGCTTCATGCTCCACTGGTGCGTGTCCTTGCAGAGCGTCAGCAGCAGCTTGTTCTTCTCATCGGAGGCGGCGTACAGCGTGATGCGGCTCTCCCCCGAACGGATCTCGAACTTCTTTCGCTCGAACGACAGCTTCGTTATGTTGGGCCACAGGAAGGTGGTTGTGGTGGTGGTGCTGGTGGTGGAGGCCTCTGCTGCTGCTCCTGCTCCCTCTAGCCCGCCGAGGATCTTGATGCCTTTGGCATAGACCACGAACCAGGAGCTGCCTGCCCCCTGCTCGCTCTTGGCCAGCCGCATCCGGAATGTGTGCGCATTGATCGTCTCGTGCAGGCTGCACGCCTGCTGAATGTACAGCAGCTCCGCCTCGGATGCGGCCATGCCCAGGTGTTCCCGGTGGCATGCCCGCAGCGCACTCCTCGCCCAGGGCGTGTTCAGGCTGCCCGGCAGATAGTCCTCGATGCGGAAGTAGTCCGTGCCGGACACGGGCAGCGGCTGCGGCAGTGCAGGCGGAAGTGGCGGCAGCGGCAGCGAATCCCGCTTGGAGGTGGAGGTGGAGGTGGAGGCCACGTACGTGGAGAGGCGCAGCATCCGCTCATTGGCGCTGCTCAGCCGCTTGCTGATCTTCGGCAGCGTCATCGTTGTGGCGGCGGCTCTTGGGCATGTGGCGGTGCCGCCAGCCTCCTCGCTGGAGTCCTCCTTGTTGGCTGTCTGGGCTTGGCTTGGGGTTTGGCTTGGTGCTGGTGCTGTGGCTGGGGCTGGGGCTGGTGGGGCATCGCCCAGGTCCGCTTGCAGGGCAAGGCCGGCCAGAAAGACCAGCGCCTGCTCGGCATGCTCCCGTGGCAGCTGCTCCCGCTGCAGGATGTTGTGCCGCAGCTGCAGGTAGTAGTTGTGCCGCGACGTCTCATCTTTCAGCATGAACGGACTCTCGATGTAGAACTGCACGCGAAAGTGTAGCTCCAGGAGTGGCCGTCCATTGGCATCCAAACCCTAAAGCCGCAAAATTAAAGATAAGTCAAGGATTGGACTGATATCTGGGTGTTAATAATACTCACGTGGGTGTGCGAGGATCGCCAGCTCTTGGGTCCGTATTTGGAGAGCTTGCTCTCGGGGTCTGCGAACATGTACTCGCCATCTGCAAGAACGAATTGGGTAGAGGGTAAAGAATGGTTTAGCAAATAAATAATAATAAATAGTAAGTAAATAAATAAATAATATATAAATAAAGTAAATAAATAAATAAAATAATATTATAAATAAATAATAATAAAATAAATAAATAAATAAAAAAATAAATAAAATAAATAGTGAGAATTATTGAAGGTCCTAGAGATTGTGTGGGAATATACTTAGATACTTCCGAGGCAAACGCAACTCAACATCAAGATATCGGGATATAAATTCAAATTTAAATGATTTCAAAGCTATTTATGGAGACTCAGTATTCATTATAATCAGCAGAAATTACAAAATATATATATACAGTAATATAAAGGAAACTGAATCATTGGAATGTGCAGAGAAAGGATTGTTCCATTTTCTAGCAGACAAATCCTTAATTAAAGATCAGCCCAGTCCCTAAATGGTATATTGTCATTGCAACTACATATGTATGTATGTACATAAAATATGCGATAATGGGCAGCAGCTTTAATTTCTTTAAGGGGAAAATCAAATGGCAGTTGGATCTACGAGTAAGTAGTTTGTCTAGAGATTTTTTTGAGATGTAATAATTCTATACTATTAAATACGAATACGAATAGATCATTAAAGATCACTTAATGGCCATAAAAATACAGATAAAGGAGTAGTGTAGATTATATTTTCTTTTATTTTTTTTATTTCCATTTATTTTCTTTTCTTTCCTGTAAAGGCAATAAATACTCGAAATACTCGTAAGTAAAGAGGATTTTTTATTGAATTACTATCCGCATGAGTCTCACACGAGCACACACAGCTTCAGTCGAATGCTCATAATAATTTTGAAAGCAAAAGTTTTTCGTTTGTAAAGTAAAGATCCATTCATTCCATAAAGTTTTGAGAAATGCCAAGATTTTTTTCTATGAGAAAAAAGGAAGTACAATTCGTTGGCTCTGGCCATGGCCTCAATCTGCGAGTGTTCATTCCTTTAATGAAGAGCAGGAGCAGGAGCAGGAGAAGGAAGTTCGACTAAACTACTAATCAATGGGAGAGGTAAAAGCTTGTTTAAATCAGAACTTCCGATAGTCCCAAGACCAGTTCAGTTCGCAGTTCCTTTTTTCTCTCGATAAGAAAGCAGGAAAGGAAGGCAGCAGCCAGCAGCCAGCAGGCAGCAGCCAGCAGGAAGTTCCCCTCAATGAAGATCAGAGCTGCCCCAATCCCCCGTTTCCCCATTTTTGATGCGGTTAAGGAACTTTTTGGCGCGAATCTGCCAAGGTCGCTAATCAAAATTTTAAATGAACTTTCGGCTATGGCCCAAGACAGAGAGAGAGAGAGAGAGAGAGAGATACAGACTTGTGTCAGTTTGTCAGGCAATAAACAAGCAGCCCATTGACATCAACAAGAGTTGGACTCAAGACTCGAGAGACTCAAGAGATGCGAGATGCGAGCTGCGAGATGGAAGATGGAAGATGGAAGATGATGATGATGATGACGACACGTCAGGCTGTCAGGGGAGAGTAAGAAGGGTATGGGCCCCAAGGGCAGGCAGGCAGGCAGGCAACAGGCAGCCTCCAATCCAGTAACAAAATCAACACACACTTCATCGAACGAAAAATTGGAATTCCTGCATACGAAATGAAGAGCAGCAGCAGCAGCAACAACAGCAGCAAGATGGAAAATAATAATTATGAAAAGAGGCAGCAGCAGCAAGCAGCAGCAACCGTAGGAGCAGTGCTGGAGTGGCATGCCATGGAATGGAAGCAGCAGCAGCAACAATATCATAATAATCATCAGCGGAGCGGCCGAATAAGTGCCTATCAATGACGATGTCTTCGTGGAGTTGTGGCTGTAGCTGCAAGATTGCGGAGATGGCAGCGGGGAGGCGTACAAAATTCAAGTTGGGAGTAGAGGAGTCAGTGCCACAGCGAGAGAGCAAGCGAGCGAGCGAGTGGCTGCTGCATACCAAGCCCAAAACGCAGCAACGAAAAAAAGAAAAAAAGCCAAACCAAGAGAGGAGGAAAAAAAAACAGGTAGAAAGACAGGTAAGCGGCAGCAGCAGCAGCACTGGCACTGGCAGTGGCAGCAGCAGAGACAGCAGCAGCAGAGGCAGCAGCGAATGGCAGCTGAAACCCAAGCAAGTCCCACAGAGTCCCCCGACAGTCTCCCGAGCGATTTCTTTTCGCATTCAAATTTCACTCAGGCTCCAGTTTTCAGAGGCCCTCCACGCAAATGGGGGGGCTATACAAAGCTCCTTCTACTACGTCTAAGAAGGCTGCGTGGAGGCTTCTTGGAGGCTGCTTGGAGGCTTCTTAGAGGCTTCTTCTGCCCCTTTGAGTGGCACAGGTGTGAAGGCCTCGTCTTGTCTAAGGCCAGCCACGGCAGCTGATGGATCCTCACGCAATCCAGAATCTCTTTGGAGTTTCCAGAGTGGCACCCTTTTTGGTGAAGCGTTGGAGCCCAGCGGCAGAAACCTAATAATTAACATATTTTCCATCGCATTCCACAGCGCTCACAATTAACACGCACGCACACACCACAGACAGACAGACGGACAGACAGAGTGAGCGAGAGGGTGAGAGGCAGAGAGACTCTTGTGGCAGGGGCAGGGGCAGGGGCAACGAAATAAATCTTCAATTTGAAACACATGCAACACAAATTACAGCCTCGATGTAGCAGAAGGGGCAGGCAGCCAGGCAGCAGCAGCAGCAGCAGCAGCAGCAGAGGCTCATCAACCAGAGGAATTCCACAGCAGATCGGTGAGTTTTGGTTTGGTTCGGGTTCGGCTCTGGGTCTGGGTCTGGTCCGAAGTCAAAGTCGAACCTCAAGAGACAGCTGCGCCCAATGCCAATGCCAAGGCCTGTGCCTTGTTGCCTTGCTGCCTGCCTGCCCTGCCGCTGCCGCTGCCTGCTGCCTGGCATTCTTCAGATTCAGATTTATTTTCCAAAAGGGTTTCCAGCTTGCAGTTTCAGAGTTTGAGTGTAGCCCCCATAATAACCAAAGAGAGAGAGAGAGAGAGAGAGCAGAGTTCTCTCAGTAGAAAGAGGCAGAGTCGACGAGGAGATGATCTCTAATGGCAGAACAGAGGAGAAAGGTTGAGCGAGAATCTTTAATTCAGGGACACAGAAGACAACTCTTAGATCAATCAGAGATCAATCTACAAAGCTACTTCTGGACGTGCTATTTTATGGACAGAATGGGCTGAAGTCTAGCAAAAATAATCCATGTGAGGCATTTCTTGTGTCGGATATAAAATCAGATATATGAACGCCTTGAAGAGTAATGGAAATATGAAATTACAAATCAAAGATCCACCGAAAATTCAATTTAAAAAAATAGAGTACCTTTTATGCCTCTTTTGGCCATAGAATTCAGCTATAGGCATTTGGCTATAAATATTCTGTACTTAAGTGAAGATCCATAGAAAAATGAGATTCTGGAACTGGATTATAGGCTATTGCAGAGGGGCTGTAGCGTGTGCAGCACAACAAATAAATCAAGCAATGGGACAGTCATGATCTGCCCCTAAAAGCATTAAAGCATAAAGCATTCTGAAAGAGCAGCAAAGCCATAATATTATGGGATAATTCTTGTGTTTAAAGGACAGTCAATATAGCTATAGGTACTCTGTACTGTACATAGATTATGATAAACATAAAATACAGAACAGATCTAACATGATCCTACCTCCAGAGTATTTACAAGTACAACTTTTAAATCCAAGCAGTTGTCTGATAATTTTACTGGTTATAGGGACAGGTAGCCCAATGGGGCTATAGGGTAACTATAGTGCCATAGAAATTTTCTAGAGAAGTCAACGATGTTCCAAAGGTCAACAGAAGAAATAAATCTTAAAAAAAAACTATAACTTCGCCTCTCGAAAATAATTTCTTGGGTCTAATGCACTCCCTATAACCACGCTACAGGGTATGTCCTCAAAAGATAAATGTGTGTGTGTGTGTGTGTGTATCGAAAAACAGGCTAAAGGAAAAGAGAAAAAAAATGAGAGAACGAAACGAAAGAACGAATGAAAAAAAAAAACATAAAACCAAAAGAATTTTAATTTCCGATGTTATCAGATGCACGCAGCCCGAGAAGAACCGGAGGAGGAGGAGGAGGAGGAGGAGGAGGAGGAGGAGGGGTGAGGAGCAGCAGGAGGCGGAGAGGCAGCTGTAGCAGAGGGACAAGGACAGGGGCAGGGGGCATGCTGTGGCAGTGACTGAGGCTGAGGTTGAGGCAAGGCCGCGAGTCGCCAGCGTCCATCACATCACAACCCATCCCATCGCATCGCATCGCATCCCATCCAGCAAAGATGCAGCAGACGAAGACGAACAAGCCCCAACGCCATATAATAATGATTATGAGCCATTAACATTAAATGGAAAAGAAAATGTTGGTCTACAGATTACAGAGCCGAAGAGGAGCAGGAGGAGGAGCAGTAGGAGGAGGAGGTGGAGTAGGAGCCAAAAGGTTCGGTTCAATCGGTGGCATGGAGGCTGGTGGCAGGGGGCCTGGGTATCATGGAATGCGGCAGCGGCCGCCACGGAATCCAGGCAATGCGACAGCCTAAAAATAACACCAAACAGGAGTTGGAGGATGGTGGGGCAGGGCAGGACAGGGCCGGAGAAGCAGTCCAAGTACGAGTACGAGTCCCGTCCTCTGCTGAATGACAATGTTGCCAAATTGCCATCGGATGCTGCTGCTGTTGCTGCTGCTTGCTGCTTGCTGCCTGCTGCCTGCTGCCTGCCACTGCAGTATGTGCTGCCTGCCACTTAAAGAGCCATCCAATGAAGGAGCGGAAATTTGCATAAAGATGAAATTTATTGACGTTGCCGTGGCCATAAAATTGAAATTCATTTCTCGGTCTACCCCCCAACCCTGTTGGTAACGAAAAGGGTCTGGGCCAAAACAAAAAAAAAAAAAAAAAAAAAACAGAAACGAAAGACTCAAGAAACGAACGAAAGAACTGACATTCCACGGGGCTATCTATTCCACAGAGCCAGAGAGCGAGAGAGAGAGAGAGAGTAAGTGAGAGAGGGAGGGCGAGGGGTATTCCTCTCGCTCGCTCTCTCTTGAGAGCGCGGCGTGAAATGGTGGACGGACGAGGCAAGCTCCAACCGCATGCCACTCACAGATACAAATACACACACTCTCAGATACAGATACATGGACAAAAATCCTTGGCCACACACACACACACACACACACACACACACATGGACACTGGGATGCAGAATGCAGAATGCAAACTGCCAATTTCATAGTTGAGCCAGAGGAATCCTCCGCTGGTTCTCCTTTCCTCCGCCTCCTTCTCCTTCTCCTGCTGCCTGTTTCTTCTGCTGCTGCTGCTGCTGCCTCTTCCGTCCGTTCTTCTGCCACATCTTTTGCTTCTTCTTCTTCTACTTCTCCTTCAAAGACGAGGACGTTGGCATGCCCATCCTCTATGCTGCAACCCCTGCTCCAAGTTGCAGCTCCAGCAGCGACTCCAACTTCAAACTGCATACCAAATTCTTTGCTGAAGATGTTGGAGGCAACTTCCCTCCCTGCTTGCTCCTCTTACCATCTCTCTTGCTCGCTCCCTCTCTCTCGCTCTCTCGCTCTCTCTCTCTCTCTTTCTCTTGGTCTTTCTGTGCCTCTTGCCACGAAATTGATGCCAACCAGATTCGAAAATTTACGTGTTGTGTTCTTGGGGCTTTTTGCTCTAACCAAAGCAATTGAAGGGTATATGGAAATTCTGTTAAGATTTGAACAGGAAAATTAAGCAAGAAATTTGGAAGAGTTTGAGAGTCAAAATTTGATTTATTTTCGCTTATAGTTTTCTCTGATATTCATTCTTTTTTTTTTTGTATCTCTCAGCACCCATTTCTTCTCCCTTTTCTAACTCCTCATCGTTGCCTTTTCCATCTGCCATCTTTATCTTCATTTTGAGAGCATTTTCGCATTCGACTTTCGATCACATCAAAAGGAACTCCTCTCCTCCTCCTTTCTCGTTTGCTCTTCTTCTCTTCTCTCTTTGCAGAACGCATATATAGCTGGGGGAGCAGGGAGAGAGAGGGGAAGGCGAATGCCAAAGACGATGTCTGCTGCCCTGCTATGCTCCTCAGCCTCTGCGGACCAGACCAGGCTTTGGCTCTTTGGCTCTGACTGTGGCTGTGGCTCTGGTTCTCCATCCTCGAAGAGCTGTTCTCCTCCTCTGTTGCCGCATGCCTCATGCCGCATGCTGCTGCTGCTGCTGCCGCTGCCGCTGCCTGTCGTTCGATTCGTTTGTGTTAATGCAACGCGCGACGGCTACCTGAATTACTGAACACGCGTCTTGTGTCTGTTCCCCAGCTGCCCCCCCCAAAGTCTCCCCTGCCGGTCGCGGTCCCGATCCCGTCCCTGATTCCCGATCTCCCCAATGGGTTCCCCGGGTTGTTCCTGCTTTTGGTTCTGAAATTGTTTGTTCGCCATGAAGGCGACGCGTTCCTCTTCTGGCTTTTTGTTCATTTTATGTGCCATTTTTTCTTTTTCTTTTTTTTTGTGTGTTGTGCTGTTGCTCTGTTGTGTTGGTATTTTTATGTGTTTTGGCAGATCGAAGGAGCAGCAGCAGCAGCAGTCTCTCCTGCTCTGCTCTGCTCTGCTCTCTGTTCCACACACTCTCTCCATTCCATACACTCCAGATCTGCAGCCAGAAGACACTGCCTGCAGACTGCATACTGAGGAATGAAGGCTGCAGAACATCTAAAGAACTGAGGACGACTGAGGTCCAGAAGCTGACGATGACGATGACGATGATGATGAGCAGCTTTTAAAAGCAGACTGGTTTATGTTTATTAGTTGTATTTTTCATGCCTTATCGCCTGGCCATTTGGCTACTCTAAACTCTAGTTGCCATCCGCTGCATGAATCCCATCATCTATTGGCATGGGTATATCTATATAGAAGGTTTATCTCACCTATGAGCACTGCCAGACCGAACAGCTCGGTGTCCAGCATACCCTGCGTGGCAAAGTGCAGACATGTCTGCGTGTAGACCTCTCGTACACGGCTCTTGGCATCGACTAGGAAGTACAGGGTTTTCGGCTGCTGCTGTTGCCCCAGAAGTCTGCAAAAAAAATATAAAAAAATATATATATAAATATATTTATGATAGATTTATGGCTGGTGGGCATGGGGTTGGGGAGACTCACCTCAGGGCCAGGAATCGCGAGCCTGGTGACAGTTGCTCGGCTGAGGACGCGCATACTTCCAGGGGCGCGCTGACGGTGCAAAATGCTCGCATGCTGCATCATTTTCCGTATACAGCGCGCACGTTCGAAATACGTTTGCTAAAAACAAAACAAAAAAACAGAGAGATTAGAGAATAAATTTGTGAATTTTTAATTATACCCGTACTCAAAAAAGAGTTAATGGGTATATTAGAGTTGTGGTAAAAGTGGATGGGTGTAACGCAGAAAAGGAAACGTTTCTGACCCCATAAAGTATATATATTCTTGATCAGCATCAATAGCCGAGTCGATAGAGCCATGTCTGTCTGTCCGTCTAAAAAATCATAAGCTCAAAAATGTATATACTGACTGACTGGTATAAGTAAAGTCGCGTCCCCAGAAGCGACTCACACGTTCCTTCTCGATTTTTTTTTTTTTTTAGATTAAATTCTATTAAAAATTAAAATATTGTGAATGTTCTGGTACAAAAAGAACTTACTGAAAATTCCAACTATTTAAATCTTAGTGGTAGTAATTTCTTGCAACTCTCTCTCTGGGTATTTTCTTTTAAAATTAAAAGTGAATTACACTAGAAGAAAAATCTCGAATGTCTCACTGCGAGAGAGCAGCCTATCGGCACGACAAGCAAAGAGATGCCATTCGGCTATGGACACAAGGGGGGGTTTTTTATGCTGCATATATATGCATTCTATAATCTTGGATAATCTTTACCAATTTATCTTGTAAGACAGCTTTAATAATTTTACTTTTCGTTGCACTAAATACCATTTAAGAGATTCGAATCATGAAAAATCTCTCTCCCCATTTTATGGCAGAACTAATCGCAAAGAAATACCAAACGAAAGGCATTCCATAGATATATCTACCATCGCATAGCGATCAGATCAGCTTAGGAGTTTATAAGGCGCATTCTTTCGGGCCAAAATGGAGGCCGCTGGAGCCGCCCCAGACGATGGCGGCGATGGAGGCGCCCGCTGCTGCTGCTGCTGCTGCTGCTCTTGTGGCCGGTCCGCTCTTTGACTGCCGAACAATTTCACCAATCAATAACGAAAGACTTAGGCGACAAACTTGATTAGCGAGCTGTGGCCAGTGCGTGCGTGGCAGCCACCGCTCCTCTCTCGCTCTCGCTCTGTCGCTCTGTCGCTGTGTGGAACAGCAACACCCCATCCCATCCCATCCCAACCCATCCCATCCCCACATCCCCAAGATGCGTTGCGCATAAAATTATTAAAATTCAGTTAAAGAAAGTTCCATGGCCAAGCGAAGACCAGCGAACGACCGAAAAACTGGCCTCGTGATGAAAGAAAAGTATTTTATGCATAAATTAAAATCAAATCGAATCAAATCAACTTCTTTTTTTTTTTGTTTCTTTGTAGCGACGCCACAGCCAGAGACTATAGTTTCTTTCTACCAAAACATTTTTGTATGGCGCAGAGAGAGAAAGAGAGGGAGAGGGAGAGGGAGAGAGACAGAGACGCATAAATTTCAATATTGGCGCATTTTCTGTGTCTAATAAATTTCAAATGTTCCATAAATTTATTCAGAGTCAAGTCGGCACTCTGGGAGAGAGAGAGAGAGAGAGACAGACGCAGACAGACAGAGAACCGCCCTGACTTCCAATAAATATATGATCGGCATCCAGCACATCCACCACCGGCAGGCCAGCACAACCTCCGTTTCCATTTCCATTCCAAAAAAAAAACGATCATCAATCAAAGCCTGCATTTGACATAAATTAGAAACCAAAGAGAATATTCCACTGGGAATACAAATCCGATCCAATCCCCAAGCCTCCCCTACCTACCAAAAATCCAACAACAACAACAACAACAAAAAACAGAGCTCTTGAAAAGCAATTATATCTTAAGCCGATTTCTATGAGCGATCCACAGAACTGGCTCTGGCTCGGGCGGTGGCTTTATGGCTGATTACGAAACGAGAATTGGAATTCCAGATCTTTAATATGCTACGAGATTGACTTATTACTGAGGAATTTATGGGAGAGAGACAACAAAAAGTAAGCCACCAAGGAGTTTATTATGCGATCACTGCGGCAACTGCTCGCAAGTAAGTGAGTGATCATATAAGCAAGAGATTGTTTACTCTGTGCTAAAAAAGTGAACATAGCTGATCACAGAATCTTGGGCACTGAGTGAGTGATCTTATAAGCAATAGGAATGAACATTAATGATCGTGGAAGTGATCTTTCAACTGCAATTAGTAAACTACTATAATAATAAGAGATCCTCAGAGTTTGGTGTGAGAAATGATCATAAAAGAAATTATCATAGATAATTAAAAAAGTGATCTTTCCTTTTTTTTTTTTTTGACTAAACAAACTCCACAGGTAAACCTCAATCATTGTGTGTGTTTTCTTGCACAAATAACCATGAATTTGATTAAAGTAATTAGAGGAATGTGCCTCACAGATTCTTCAGGAAATGATCTCTAATGAGAAAGATCGATTAAACAGCAGAAAGAGATTGCTGTGAGATTTCTCCGGAAGTGATTGGACCAGTGGATCATTGCTTGCCATGACTGATCGCTGGCATCAATCAATGAGAACTTGTCGTGGAATATTTCTAACCATGCGAATTACCCGTGCAACCCTGTGTAATTCCCATAGTCACCCCCCATAAGGAATGTCCATTATATAATCCAAACGCAATGCCAAAAAATATGCCATGCCAATCCCCTCAAGATCACCACACGGAACATCATTGAGCAGTAGGCGATCTGGTTGGATGGGGATGAGTCAGTAGCCCCCCCCCTAAACCCCCACCGCACCATCATTTGAGCCGGCAAGCAGAGGCAGGCAACGTGTTTTTTTTTTAATTTAAAATGCAAACAAATTAAAAGCATTTAACAATTTCAATCATAGCAACAAATTATCCGCATTCCAATGGCTAATGAGAGCGGGAAGGAGAAGCCAAGAAAAGACGTTGTTGCTAATTATTAAAGTCAACGCAGGAGAAGGCGGCTTATGAGAAAGGGGGGAGGGGGGGGGGGGCCTATCAGGTGTTTGTGGGGCAATTAAAAAATGCGGCAAAAGAAGCGAAGAAGCCAAGTGGAGCGATAGAAAGACACAGAGAGCGAGAAGGGAGGGACAGGCAGGCGGAGGCAGAGGCAGTGGCAGAGGCAGACACGCTAATCAGCAATTAGCAAATGGCAATAAATACCAAAAACCCAGATGATAAAGTATCTGGAAAGCGGGAGGGGTACGTGTACGGGTACATACACTCGTGGAATGCAGAGAGAGCGGGTGAGAGAGAGAGAGAGAGGCATACCAATAAATATCCCACGGGCTCTGGTGCGAAATGTGTGTGTGTGTGTGTGTTGGTGTGTTGGTGTGTTGGTGTGTGTCTCTTGGCGCCAGGCAGCGAAATAAATGCTTTTTCTGCTGTCACAGCTAAACCCCAAAGAGTAAAAGAGACAAAGAGAGACATTGCGCATACGCCACGTTTTGCAGCGACAGCACAACGTCTCCACCCCTCTTGAGACCCCCCCATCGATTGCATTGCATGCCATTGCACTGAGCTCATTCTGTATGGGGCGTGTGTGTGTGTGTGTCTGTGTGTATGTTTTGTCCCCAAGTCGAACGAACATTCGATCAGAGATCGGAGATCGAAGAGCACGGGCCGAGGGCTCTACGATATAAACGATTTAACCGCATGTGCAGTCTGTTCTCGCTCCACTGCTCCACCGCTCCCCTTTTTTCTTTTTTTCTTTTTTTCATTGAAATGCTGAATCGGAAACAGCAAATATCCATATGGATTTCATTGCGGAATTCCACTGCCACAGCCACTGCTCCCGCCGATCCATAAACATTCGAGTGTAAACGATCGTTAAAATCTGCAGAGTATATGGAATGCCACTCGATCCGAGGAGATGCTACCAATAAAGATCATAGATATGATCACACGACAGTAAGTATTAGAGGATCGTGATCTTTGCAACAGCAACAACAATACCAACAACAACAACAACAAAAACACATTTCGCGCGATCTGATCAATAAACAACTGAAAATAAACGATCGTAAAGTCGAGCGAAGGCAAAGGAATGCGACAATAAAATATGTGTGGAATAAATGAAGAAAAATAGTAGATGCCAATGGAAGATCTGTGAGATTAGCACAGGCTTTTGAGGAGCGTGTTTCAAAGGAAATCAAATGATTATTCGTGATCAGCAATTCGTAGGCAGTTATCGTTACAATCGAAGGATGAAGGGAATAGCTTATAGATGATCCTTAAGGATCGTAAAGATCAATGAGGAAGGAATCTTAAGGCGAAAAAAAGTAGACAGATGATCAAAATATATCAAACTATCTTACAGATAAATAAACTATGAAAATAAATTATGGGAGGTGTTCAGTGTTCAGTGTAGATCATAAATAGATTATCTGCGGAAAGTGTGAGAATCTATATTTGGCAACAATAAGCATACAAATAACAGATCTGTCGTTCGTGATCCAATTGATCTACACTGATCTTTCCATACAATATATCGCTAGCTGTGCCCAATGTAGGTATAGTTCCAATAGAGGCAGGCAGTGCTCATGGCATGAGAGACACTCCCCTCACACGCTTTAATCACAAAACAGATTCCAGAGCAGAGCCGAGCACAGCTGAACAGAGTGGAGGAACTCTTAACTGGATTCGAATTCTATTGAAAGTGTTTGGAGCCCCCAGTCTCTCTCATTCTCTTTTCTCTCTCTCTCTCTGGCAGATCTAGCAGCAGCAGCTATTCTCTGGCAGCTAATGAATGACGACGAGCGGTAACTTTTGACGTGGAATATTTTGCTCATGAGTCCGCCAGACAGAACAGACCAGACCAGACCGGACCGGGACTGTAAGCGAACTCTGGGATCCAAAGCGGATTGCACGTATACGTGCGTCTGGGGCTGTTTTTTTTTTTAATTACCGATAGATAGAGCAACGATTGAACGGCATAGAATTGGCGTCAGTAAATAGTTCAGTTGCTTCGTTCCCGTCCAGGTTTGCCTTAGTTTGGTGGCATTTTCACACGCTGATCGTGTCCAGCGCCAGCGCCAGCGGATGCGCGTCATTGCGACCCACAAGTGTCATTCCACACAGGGGTGTGGCTCAGGCAAATGAGGCTTTGAGGCTTTGAGTCTTCGTGGCTTTGTGGCTTTGGCTTTGGACTTTAAAGCTGGGGCCTTTTATTATGCCTGTGATTATGAGCCATCAAATCGCGCAAATAACTCGGCGTCTTCTTGCCAAACAAACAGACAAAATCGAAAGAAGAAACAAAAACAAAACATGGAGAAAACGAAGAGGCAGTCGCCGCCAAAGAAACTCAAAAAAAAAAGAGCCAAAGGCAAAGCCAAACAGCGGCAAATTCCGGCCAAAAATTCCACTTGTTGTGCCAGTTATGGCTCAAACACACACAAACACACACACACACACATACAATTTGGTGTGTCTTTGAAATGCGCGAAATGTCCCCCCAATGCGATAAGTCTGCCGCTCATCATGAGCAAGACTATAATGATGATGATGAGCAAGTGGCAGACATTTAGTTAGAGAGAGAAAGAGAAACGAGGGGGTAGACAAGTGAAGCTCTGGGGCCAAAGAAAACAGCGCACACGTCTGCGAGGCACAGGCACACCTAACGCAGTTGGAGATGGAGGTGGGGGTGGAGGCGATAGAGCGATGGCGATGCCGATGGCCTCCGCAATGAGAGCAGAGCCCAGCCAAGCACTTGGGGCAGGCAGCAGCACACGGCAACGTGTGCCGCATGCCAAATGGAAGGCGTGCGAAACTATGCTCATACCCTGGGAAAACTAAAAGGCCTACGGAGGAGTGTATAGGCTGTGGGTATTAGGTAATATATTAAGTGTGATTTATTTTATTTTCTTTCTTTGAAAACTTGGCAAACATAAAGTCAATGACTGAGTCAATATACTGATGTCAAATACCCAATTAAAGTATTCTGAATTAAAAATAATGCACCGAAATCTCTTCTCTCAGAATATTTCATTGAGATTCCTATCATGTATTATCGCCTGATTGAAGTATCGCCTGATTGAAGTATCGCCTGATTGAAGTATCGCCTGATTGAAGAATTGCTTTTCCTCAAACTCTTTCTCCTCCTGTGTGTATTTTTCCCAGTTTCATTTTTACAGGTCATCCAGCAGTCGATCTTCTGCTTTACTCTTATCAGTATGTAGAGGGCGGTTAAGCCAAAACTATTGCGTTTGGATCTCTCTCAGCCTCGACTCGGCGACTCGACACCGATTGTCATTCAAAATTTGTTTAATTTGTTGTACATTTTAATTGCTTGAATTGTTGAAAACAAAAAACAACACAAACATACGCATATATTGAGTGCGTGAAGGAATTTCGGTTTACGAAATTATTATTATTATTATTTCAAGTATTATTTTTCGTGGCTGTCGCTGTTGTCGATTTCAATGCAATGCCCATTGCCCATTGCCTGAGGTCAAGTGTGATGGAGAGATATAGATACGAGATACGCGTGTAGTCGATGGAGATGTCTCAGCATACTAGACTCAATCGGAAACCACAAAACAATGACAACAGCAGAGCTATGACAACCCCAGAGATACATACGTACCATACACGTGTGTACAGATACAGATACAGCAACAGCAACAGCTACATGTGTATTATTTTTATTGATATACAGTTACTCATATCACTTTTGGTGGCAGAATCGTTTAACGATTAACCGCTTACCGCTTAGCGCTTATTTGTCCCCCCCCACCCATTTCCATTTGCTTATCTTTGCATTGGAGATGTCTGAACGGAAAATGGTTTATGGATTAACGATTATTTGTTCACAGATATCTGATTTCTGGTTCCTGCTGGCGCTAACGCTTTCTGCCATACAACACCTGGGGAGGCACAGTTCCGAGATTCGAATCTACTTACGATTTTCCACCTAATCGACTCTCAGTTCCGCTACCGATCGGTTTGCACTTTATCAACAGTGTCCAGCCAGCCCCATCCACCAACCTGTGCCGATAAGCAGGGTTATTAACCCTCTAACTTTTATAGGAGTTTTCTGCCAGGGATCTACCAAATTACCTTAGATGCAGTTCAAAGATGATCATCTATAATATATTAACTTCCATATCCAACCCCCCTCTCATATCGTTTGATGGCACTAATTCCACACAAATTTCGTTCCTCTTTTTAATTCATCAAATTCTATGCCAATTTCCGTCTGCCCCCCTTTTGGGGCGCATCAAAATTCACACCCATAACCTGCGCGATATCTGATATTTGGGGTACGGTACGAAATGGGTTAATTGCACACAATGCAAAGGTAAAAGAAAGAACAACAATAACAACAACAGTTTGGCAATCGTCGCTTGGACGTTGGCGATTTTATGGTTCAGTTCGGCTCTTGGGGCTGCAGAGATAAGAGAATTTGTTTTGTTTGCTTTATGAGTGGGTCGCGGGAGTCATTAAAATTCCAGAGAAATGAGCCCACATTCGGGAGAGAGACCCTTGGTCCACGCGTGTTCCACTGTACCGTTATTAAAGGAGGGATTCTTTATCGTCCATCTCTGTGTCGGAGATTTGTTATTCCTCCTTGCGACTTGCTATAACTGCACCTATATCTCTACCCCACTCCCACTGCTGCTTTGTTGCTATCGTTCTCCCTGTCTTACCTTATGCACGGCCGATGACAACGTTTGCCGCTGCAGTTGTTGTCGGCATATTGTCTCTGGTTTTTCGTTGTTGTTTCTCTGCTGTTATTTGTTGCTGTTTTTCCTTCGATCTGCTGCCGCGTAATCCACAAAAATTGAGAGTTTAAGTTTTATCTTTTGCTTTCTTTGACTCTTTCTCCAGCTGCCAGCTGCTTCTTCTTATACTTTTCTTCACTGATTTGTTCACACTTTTGCGTTTTGTTTGCTGTTGTTGCTTCAAATGCCACCAAACTGTGTTTTATTTTTGCTTTTGCTGCTGCTGCTGGCTGCCTGACCTCTTCAAATCGCGCGCTGCGACTGCGCAGTCAACGCATTCCAGGCCGCACTTGTGGGCGCCGAAGAGAGTGAGAGAGGGAGAGAGGGGGAGCACGAGCACACTACGTTTTAATCAAAATTCACATACACATACGCGCGCGATCACACACACACACACGCACACAACTAACTCAACTGGCAAGCAGGGTGAGAGAGAGTGGGAAAGAGAGCGATCGCGGACGTCAGCTCTCTCGCTCAAGTCGGTTACGTTTTTGTTGTTGTTGCGCGAAAGAATGCCGTTTGCTTGGTTGTGCTGTTGCTTTTTCTGTTGCTGGGGCTCGATTTTGACCAGCGCCAACTTTTGGATTGGATTTTATTGGATTGTGGTGGGGATTGTATTGTAGGATTGTAGTGTAGTGGATTGTATTGTATGGGATTTGATTTGATTTGATTTAATTTAGTCGTGAGTCCGCGCGATGTCTGGAATTTTTCGAAAACAAAACACTCGTTTACACACACCAACAAAAATCGGTAGCAAAAGCTTTTCTCTTGTAATTCAAACTCGTAAACGTATCCGAATCTGAGTCCGAGTTCCGTTCCCCAAATTCCCCAAAATCGTAACCGAAACGCGAAACACACACTGCACTCGAGACTCGACTCGACTCGACTCTGTTTCTGCTCTGATCGTGGGGCGAAAACCGAACTCCACTTGGAGCTGTTGCAGAGAGCTCTGTATCTGTATCTGCGCGCACCTTTCTTATTCAAAACATTCAACGTTGAATTCCTCGAATTTGATATTCCGTTTAATATTACTAGCTAGTTGGCCCTCTCAGCCCGAAACAAATAATTTTATCCGATAGATACATACATTTTCTACAAGATTGGCAAGTTTTCAGAAGTCCTTTTTATTGGATTATTTACATATTAAGGTTAAAACAAAAACAACATAAAACGAATGTGTCGTCGTTTTGTGGCGTTGCCAGACTGGTGCAATTCGTAGTTGCTGCGGGCTGCCAAACCCCGATAATTTGGGATATAAAATTTGTCAATTTTGATATTCCGTACAATATTACTATCCAGTTGGCCCTCTCAGCCCTACAAAAATAATTTTATCCTATTCCTCAATGAATTTTCTTTAGAATTGGCTAGTTTTCAGAACTATTTTTTATTGGATTGTTTACATATTAAGGTTCAAACAAAAGCGGCCAAAGCATAAAACGTAAATGTTGACTAAATGTGACGTCAGTGTTGCTGGTCAACCAAGTTTCTTTTATGCGTATGTACTTTTGTATACCTTATTTCTTTTAATTGATGTTAAATGTTTTGTTCCAAGCTCCAAGCTATGATTTTATCCTAGATTGACATGTTTTTTACATATTAATGCACATGTTTGTGTTTTATATATACATTTATCCCGGTTCTGATACCTATTATTGGAACCCGTCAGCTGCCAAATTTCGTTAATATCTGGAAAACTGAGACTGAGTAGTTTCTGCATTAATTGGAGCCTGAAATTACAAACAATATCTCAAGTCCATAATATCCATTTTCCCAAGGTATTCAGACTTGTTGCTCATTCCGTGCCAAAGTTGCACAACAATGCTGCTACTTTATTTCCCCATGTTGCTGAAAAGCGTATGGAATAAAGATTCAATGTTGCGTCATTCTATACGCGTTCCCGTAAGATACATTTGATTTTGTATGGGAAAAATTTCAGCAACATGCTGCCACACCACGAAAATGAGTGGAAAGTCTCCACAAAAACACTCTCTTCTCCACGAATTGAGAGCAAATTTTGAAAACTCTCCACGAATTGAGAGCGAATTTTGCAAAGTCGGAGTTGGATTCGAGTTGCGTTGGGTTTGAGCGTGATTCGTTTAGTATCAAAGAGAGCGCTTCGTGAGAGCTGAATGAAGCTTTCGTCAAAATTTCGAATGAAACCATGGTACGAAGATAATAGGTTTGTTTGCTCTCACTCTCTCCGTTTCTGGATCGTGGATCGTTTCGTTTCGTCAAATGTGTGCCTGTGAGCGCAAGGTATAATAATTTAGCGTGGCAAAAACTCAGCTAGAGGCCTCTAATGTCGTAAGTTTATGTACATCAAGCATTGGGATGGATATAATAATTTCATGTTTGTTGCATCAACCGCTGGAAAATTTAACATCACTTCGAAAATAATTCAAAAATGTTTTTTAAATGTTTATTAAATAATTAAAAGTCCGAGCGAGCGAGCTGATTGTTAAGAAAAACTGAACGAAGACCGTTGCAAGAGTCTCACTGAACGAAAACAAGAGAGAGAGACAGAGAGAGAGAGAGCCAACGCTCTGTCTTTTTGTTTGTTTGTGTGTGTGTATCTCCCACTGAGATTTGAGATTGGAATGCGACGTTTTCATGATAGTTAGTGGCTCCAACAGTTGGTTGGGGACAGAAAATACCACACAGACACACATACACACACACAGTTACAGTTACATCTATGGACCCTCGAAAAAGAAAAGAAAGAAAAACATTTGCAAAGCCAAAAACAAAAGGCAGCAGCAGTAAAAATGAAAAAAATGGGTAAAAGAAAAACAAACTTCAAAGGAGAATCACAGTAGCAACAAATGCAAGAGAGTACATCTGTGTGTGTGTGTGTGTGTGTGTGTGTGTGTGTGTGAGAAATTCCAATGTTTTATCTCAGCTGCAGGCTGGCTGAGGAGGGCGGAGAAGATCAGCCCAGGAGCAGCAGCGAGGCAGAAGAATGCAAGAATGCAAGTGAAATAAATATGTGGGGTGGGCATTGACTTGGTGGGCTCTTGGGATAGTAACCTATTGGCCACGCTCACGGTATGCACAAGAGCGAAAAATATTGGCAAAGAGTAATGCCACACCTTGTCGCAAATGTACCTTTGAGTGCCTGAATGCATTCATTCCTCGAGCATAATGTGAGCTTGATTTGCTGGATTCTTTTTACCTATCTCTCTCTCGCGCACCTCTTCTGCACTCCCTCTCCCTCTAACCAGCTACATACTCACTCGAAATTATTCTTTTCGTAAGTTTTGTTTTCCTTTTTCTTTTCTGTTCCTCCTTCTACCGCTTCTTATGCTGCTGCTGCTGGTGTTGTTGTTGCTTCAAATATGCGCCTCACACCGCACCCCATAGTGGGCTGTAGATGTGGTGGAGCCCGAGCCCGAGTCCGAATCCGAGTCTCCTCGATGCTGGGGCTCAGCACGTTCTTGACGGGTCGGGGGTCGTCATAACTTGTTGACTGAAGCCAAAAGCGGGGAGCGGAGCAGCGGGTGCAGACAGTGGTTGGGCTTAGGGGAGTGGCGGGGGCCAGGTGGCAGAAGGAGAGTCGGGGGAACGATGGGAACTCTCTGCCGCAGCCTTCGATTTCTTCGAGTGTATTTGCTATGCGTTTTTTTTTGTATATGTATTTTTTGGGTGTTGTTTTGCTTGGTATCCCAAAGTATAGCTCTTAGTCCATTATATATCTATATTAAAAAAAAAAAAACCAGCCTGAAGGCCTCGCTGTTCTGGCTATAATCAAATTGTACCATAGGATTAATCTTAGGCTACAATTTGGTAAATAAATAAATAATAAATAAATATATCTTTATATTCCCCCATTTCTATATTATGTTTCCACATTCTATATTACTTATATTCTTTGTATATTATCTCGCTTATCTATATTCAATGATACTGCTATACAAATACATACTATCAGTTATCTTGATGTTGCCTCGATTGGATATATAGTTCTTCATTATTCATCATTCTGGATAATAGTTACAGAGATGATAAATCCTGTTTTGACATAATTATCTACCCTATGGTTAGGGTACTTCCACCTCCGACTCTGCTGTATGCCCCCTTTTGATTCTTGTTTTTCGTTATTCTTTCGTCTTCGGCCGATCGCTTGGTTTGCTGTTGGCTCTGGCTCTGGCTCTGGCTCCAGCTCTGTCGCTGACTCTCTAAGACCGGTTGTTGTTGCTGTGGCTGTAAGCCTGCCTTTTGGGCGCTACGTTCTTGGTCAACATTGTGTGTGAGTTGGTATGCACACACACACACACACACACACACACACTCAACACACACACTCACAGATATACAGATACATGCGAGTGGAGTTTGGAGCCTGGTCGAGGCCGAAGTTTCAGCTCCAAGAAGAGGTACAACAACAACAAAAAAATGAAGAAACATTTTTTTATGCAATTCCTTGAAGTCGATTTCTGCCTGCCTGGCCTCCAGTGTCTCCCCAGAATCTCTTTTGCGGAATTGGCGCGCAATTTTTTGTGTTTTTTTTTGGTTTTTGTTTTTGCGGCACCAACTCCATTCTGATCCCAACCGAAGTGATCTTTGAGCGCAGCAGCAGCTGCCATTGATCCTCTTTCTATTCAAAATTCCTCGTGTTTCGCGGGACTCCTTTTTTTATTTTGGGGTTCTGTTGTTCTGTTTTCTCCTTCTTGGCCAAAGCCAAAAGTCGTCGTCGTTGTTGTTGATGATGATATGGCGAGGAGGAGGGCCTGGAATTTATTGAATAAGTTGGCATATGACGCGGGTCCGCAGTCCCCAGTCCCCAGTCCGCACTCCCCGTAGTACTGCTGTGTATTGATGTGTGTGTGTGTATGTGTGTGTGTTTCGTTACGCTTCATTGCTGTCGATCGACAGCCCGACGATATAGCCCGATTGTCGCATACTTTCTACCCTTTCCAGTGGGGAGCATCACAACTACCAGAGGACACACACAGAGAGCAGAGAGTTCCTTTCAAGTTACAATCGGAAGTTTATTGGAGATCGCTGATCTTCGAGTATATCTGTGAAAGATTTCACACTCCAAGAAGATTCCTACAGGTAGGAGTCCCACGAGGTACTCCTGAGCTTAGATCAGTAGCATAATGTGCTTTATAACTGATTGCATTGATCTGTAATCTCATAGAAGTTTGCAGGTTTTGCTAAAACAAGGGAAGATCATTTAAAAGTAGAATTTCCAAGCAGAAGTGAGTAATTAATCGTTGATCGACACCTCCCAGAGCTGCAATCAGCACAGATCCAGAGTTCATTGGAATCCCTAGCTAGCCTCTCTGCAGAAATATGCAGACATGTCTCGTCCCCTTGCTAATGTCTATAACTCATACAATTCCTATGTCATATACCTTATCAATCAATCAATCAATCCATCAGCGTGGCGTGGCGTTGAGTGTATTGAAAGGTTCGTTGAGTTGTTGATTGAGTTTCCATTTCATTTCGTTTCGTTTCGATTCGTTTTGCTTTGTATTCTTTTTATTATGGCCAAATATTTCTGCTGGGCGACGAGCCAGCCAGGCCAGCCAGGCCAGTCATGCCCCTTGAGCCACGATAATGTTAATGGGGGGGCCCCACTATGCCCTGCTCTGCTCTCCTCTACACCCCTCCATCATCATTCCTTCAGTCTGTCGCCGGTCCGAGGTATTTTTATGACTTTTGTTACACTAACTTACTTCCTATTCGAATCGGAGGGCAATGCGACAACGATGGCGACGACGGCGACTGGACGCTATGGCATTTGGGTTTTTTTTATTGTTGTTGTCTGAATGTAAATGAGAAGGGTATGAGAGGGGTATGAGAGCGAGAGAGAGAGGAAGTGAGAGCGAGGGGCACCACCTGAATGGGCGTCATTCCACAGTTGATTGGCTCGCTCTGAGGTTAGGCTCTGACTGTGACTC